GATTCTTAAAGGGAATCGACAATTAGTATGCTGCAGTTCGTTCCCAAATAATGTTGATTAATCCTTTGCCAAATATCAAATAGCCTTCTTAATGATTGTGCAGTAAGAGAGACAATTTGGTGTTGATAATGCACTTGGAGATTCAACTGACTCAAAAATGTTTGTTGACTTTAACAATCTTCCTGGAAATAACAGTTGTAGAACTTTCAAGGCTCTAAGAGGTAGAAATGGCAGAGACCATGGAAGAAATGGAGGAAGAATAAGTTGTCTTTGCACTCGTTATGGTAGGACTAACCACACGAGTGAAACTTGTTACCACCTCCACGGTTATCCACCTGATATCATTCAATAAATGTCCAATCTGCTACTAATAGTGTTTCTCAGGAAAATACCATCACAACTAATCAAGTTGATCCGAATCATGCCTTGTTATCTCAAGAAAAAAACTAGGATCAAGTTTCTCTTCTGCATAATCTGAATAATGCAGTTGCTCAACCTACTTGAAATAATGCTAATGTTACTCCTAGTTATGCTAATACTGAAGCAAATATTGCACAAATATGAAATGCTCACACAGATGCTTCAGGTACACTTAATATGAAATGGGTGATTGATATGGGAGCAACTGACCATATAACTCATAAACCATTATTTTTCTCCCTACTTCAAAAAATTGAACCTGCTCTCATCCTACTTTCTAATGGAACACGTACAGTATGTCGTCTTTTTGGAACTATTCAATTGTCACCCACTCTCATGTTATCAGATGTGTTATTTGTTCCAGAATTTCACGTGAATTTAGTTTCAATTTCTAAACTATTTCGTACTCTCAACTGCCATTTCACTTTCTATGATTCATTTTTTCATTACGCAAACTCATTCCCAGGAGATGATTGGTATTGCTAAAGAATAGTATGGCCTATATGTGATGGTTAATTAGGAGTCTCTCTTCAAGAATAAAGGAGCACAACCCATGGCAGTGTCAAATTGCACCAATAATGTCTATGCTGATTTGGATTCTTCTTCAAATAGATCCCTTTTATGACATAGACGATTAGGTAATGTATTAGATAATGTTTGACAAACTATGTCATCTCAATTTCTTTTCATTTCTTCATCTCTATATATACAGCCTTGTGATACTTGTTATTTGGCTAAACAAAGAAGGTTACCTTTCCTTTCCAACAACACATGCATAACTAAGATTTTTGAAATCCTACATGCTGATATATGGGGGGCCTTCAGTACCCTATCACTTCATGGGCCTCGATACTTCCTAACATTGGTAGATGATTTTTCACGCTTTACTTAGGTTACTTTGATGAAGACTAAAAGTGAAACCCGAAGTCACATTCAACATTTCCAGATGATTGTTGAAAACCAATTTAACACTACCATAATTTTTTTTCCAAAGTGAAAATGGATGTGAATTCCTAACGTAAGATTTATACTATTCCGAGGGGATAATTCACCAGACAAGCTGCCTCGAAACACCACAATAGAATGTTGTTGTCGAACATAAACATCAGCATGTGCTCAATGTAGCTCTTGCTCTACTATTCCAGGTTTCACTTCCACTTCGTTTATGGTTTTATGCATTAACTCATGTTGTTCATTTAACTAACAAAATGTGCACCACTCATCTTTATAACAATACCCCTTATGAATTGTTGCACATGAAGCTTCAAGTTTTAATCCATTTGCGGGTTTTTTAATGTCTTTGTTATGCATCCACAATCTTATCACACCGTATATTTTCCCCACAAGCTAGGAAAGTAACTTTTCTTGGATATAAGGATGGTAAAGGCTACTTGTTATATGATTTGTGCTATTGTGAGCTCTTTGTTTCGCATCATGTATTCTATGAAGGGACTTTTCCTTTTCGCATAAACATGCAACTTCAAAGTAATGTTAACACTTCACTATTGCTATCAGACTTTGAGCCACTACTTGATTTGACTTTTCCACGTGATGTACACTTAAACTCCAACCATGATGCACCTCATGCCACTAACAACAACAACAACTTACCATCCTCAAGCTCACTTCAATCAGAAGTAACTCCTTTTTGTCGATCATCGCGAGCTCCTCCTCCTCCTCGATATCTCATTGACTATCACTGCGGGCTTTCTGTTGCTCACAACACTCAATCATCTCCAGGCACCTCTCATTATCCTTTATCTGATCCTATAACCTCTGTTGTTGTTCTCACAAATGATTTTATCTTAACTCTTGTACCCACTTCGAGCCTCACACTTACTCATAAGATGCTGCATATAAGGAGTGGCAATGAGTGATGCAGGCTGAACTTACAACCTTAAAACAAAGCCATACGAGATCACTAGTTGATTTGCCTCCTAATAAGCAACCAATCAGTTGCAAGTGTGTTTACAACATAAAGTATCGTTTAGATAGAATCATTGAATGATATAAGGAGCGACTTATTTTGAAATAATTCATGCAGCAAGAGTGGGTTGATTACTTCTATACTTTCTCCCACTATTGTAAAACTCACTTTGTTTCGAACTCTCCTAACCGTTGCTGCTATGAAAGGGTGGCACCTTGCCCAACTTGATGTAAACAACGCCTTCCTCCATGGTTACCTTAATGAGGAGGTTTATATACAGCTTCCACCTGGTTTGCAAGCTCCTAGTCCCAATCTTGTCTGTAAACTTCAAAAATCTTTATACGGGTTGAAACAGGCTAGTCGCCAATGGTATGCTAAACTTTCGTCAGCCTTAATCTCACTGAGATGTGTCCAAGCTAATTTGGATAACTCCATGTTCATTCGTTGCACTACTTCAAATTTCATCATACTCTTAGTGTACATTAATGATATAGTTCTTTATGGGAATTGTCTTGAAGAAATTAATCGGGTGAAGTCTTTCTTCGATGCCAAATCTGAAATAAAGGATATGGGGAACTTGTAGTATTTTATAGGACTTGAAGTGGCTAGATCGAAGACTGGGATCATTGTAAACAAATGACAATATACACTTGAGCTTCTCTCATATGCTGGCTTGTTAAGTGCAACTCCAGTTGATCCTTCTTACAAATTGTCTTGTACGCGGGGCATTGCTTTATCTGATGCTGCCCCATATAGACGATTGGTTGGTCACTTGCTTTATTTGACCATCACATATCCTGACATTTATTTTGCAGTACAATAATTGTCTCATTTTGTTTCTTGTCCTTGTGATGTCCACTTCGCAACTGCTAATTGGGTTTTAAAGTATCTGAAAGGTTATTCAACAACTGGGTTGTTCTTCTCAGCATCTACGTATCTCCAAGTGAGTGCATTTGCTGATGCCAATCGGGCTTGTTGCCAAGATACGAGGAAATCAATTTCAGGATTTTGTGTTTTTGTTGGGTCCTCATTGGTGTCATGGAATTCTAAGAAACAAAACATTATCTCGCATTCTTCATCATAAGTTGAGTACCAAGCTTTGGCGAGTCTTACATGCAAACTGCAATGGCTCCAATATTTGTTCACAGACCTGTGTGTTCCTTGGAGTAAACATGCATAAGTGTTTTGTGATAATTGCTCAACAATTTATCTCACTTATAACCTCACTTTTCACGAGTGCTCCAAACATATCGAGATAGATTGTCATGTTAAACATGAGAAGGTGCTTCTAGTGAGTTTCTCTTCTCACCTCGTTGACGTTTTTACAAAGGCCTCGCCCATTTCTTCTTTCAGTGCTATCATGCGTCCATCTTGTTGGGAGGGGGGTATCACATAAGTTAAGTCATGCACAGAGCCATACAAAAATGATGAATGGTGAAGCTTATCATAAAGCTAACGTGTATGAGAAGTGTAAAGATGTTAAAGATGTTGACGTGTTATTTGTGGCCACCAATCATAAGAGATAACAACTTATGTTATTAGTTTGAGTCTGTTAAATTTGTTGTATCTTTTTCTAACTTATGTTGAGTTAGTTCAGCTCATTTTCTCATGGTATAAATAAAGATTCTCCCTTGTAATTTAATGCATTCATCAGATTCACCTTAATTAAGAAATCTTTCTTTTCTAATACAAGATATATAATTCAAAGTTATATATGTTATTTATTTATTTTTGATTTGAAAAATATATAAAGTAAAATAGTATTTGCTTGTTTGTAAGACGTCAAAATAATTTTAAATACATAAACAAAAGCGTGTCCTTTAGCATGAAGGTCAATTCAATTGTCTTTGGTGGAAATATTGTAATGAACGTAAATGTCTACCCATATTTAATATTGTTAGAAGTCATCCTAATAAAGAATAAGCAAAACATGATGAAATAAAAATAAAAACTTGTCGTAAAATAAGACTAGAGATTTTTTGAAGGGTAATATTTCTCTCCTTTAATGTGAGAAATTTTTTATCCAACAAAATAGATAGATCAAGAAACATGCTTTCCTCTTCTTCTTTTTTCTTTTAACGGTGGGCTTTACAAAGGAAATGTGTCTGCTTGAAATTTTTTACTCTCGAGAGAAATATTACTTTTTTTTGAAAGGTAAAATGTGAAGAGAAATGAATAAGAAATAGTACGTGAGGTGATAATTAGGAATTAGAATGTATTAATCAATTTTAAAAATATGAAGAAATGACAATTTAATGATAATAAACAAATGGGAGAATAGAGTTGAAAGGAATGCGCGTGGAGAGACAACGGGGAAGATGCAGGGGTTTGGGGGCACGCATTGTATGGGTGTGCGCAATACGCACCCTGGGGAAGATGGGAACTAACTCCGCTCTGGCGGACAGTGAAGTCCATGTTTGACACATAATTATTGATCTTCTCTTCACCACTTCTCCAACCAAAAAGAAGCACTTTATTTATAGTATAGTATAGTACATAAAATAAAACAATAAAATAATTCGTAGCAAATAGCAATGCTCTCCAGGAAGCACAGATAAAAATAAAAAATAAATTACAGAGAAGTGAAGACTAAAGACTAAAGAGAGAAAATAAATAAATAAACAAGTTGGTAATGGTACTATATCTAAAGTCTAAACTAGTTTATAGAAAGAGAGAGAAAGGGGTAGCAGGGGAACAGAGGGATCGTGTCGGCTTCAACCAAACACGACCTTATCGGCGATCGAATTTCGATCTATTATTGTGTGAGTCTTCATTCTTCCGCTTTCCTTTTCTAAACCCTAGCTACTTGCCCCTATTTTAACTTGCTTTGGAATTCTGATTCTGATTTCCTTTCTTGTCTTTGTTCGGCTGCAATTCTCCTTCAATTTCCTGGATCCACCTTCTACATCTGTTTTTCACTCTCACTCTTCTCTCTCACACATTCACACGCTTTTCATTCCTCCTCCTCTTTCTTTTGCTTCATATAGTTAGGGCACACAACCACGTAAGCTGTTTTCTGTTAATAATTGTTATCTGCCTTGTAATTAGTGGGTGTGCTCTTGTTAGTAATCTAGTTAATGCTATTGTTTTCTTGTCTAGCAGAACAAAATTCAACCCTACATTCTCTGCTCTCTTGAACATTTCTCGTATGGCTTCAAATCATATATCAGCTGCGAGCCATTCAGGTTTCAGTTTATCATTTCATTTCACAATTTTTATTGCTAATTCTGTGTTCTTGCTGCCTCTTCTTGAAATAAATAAAAAATATAGTTACAATTACATTTTACCTTTATACCTGATTGGTTATTTTCCAAGTGCTTAATATTCTTTTTGATAATTGTTGAATCATAAAAACATATTGGAACGCATGACTATTTACCATGGGCTTATTCAGTTTTGGTTGCTGCGTAAGTATCTCTCTCGTTATGATTGACATCAGATGCTGCTTACATTCTGTTCATAGAAATTTTGTACATATAGGCTAGCACGGGTTGGCTCACCTACCACTTTATGTTCATGACTGTAGAAGGGGATTTGGGAAATGCTTGGGGAAATCAGGTCCTATTTATGCAAGATTTACAATCTCTAATAGTAGGAAACACGGAATTTACAATCTCTAATATTAGGAGACTAAGAATATAATGGAACTAGGAAATCAATGATAATAACACAAACCATATCCTAATTATTTACAAAATATACAATCCCTAAATAGAAGATATGGGTAGTATTTTCCTAAATAGAAGATGCTTTCCAGCACTCCCCCTCAAGCTGGAGCTTACAAATCATATGCAATGTATTTGAAATCATATACTTGTCACATATGAAATGTATTTGAGGTCCCCACAATGACTTTATGAAAATATCACCAAGCTGACCACTAGAATTAACAAACGCAATGATGATTTCCTCGGGGATTATTTCTCTACGATAAAGTGACAATCGACTTGGTATACGGAAGACCTAATTTGACACAATATGTGAGGCATCTTGATTATCTCAATATAGCTTCATATGATCAATGTTTCCAAACTTCAACTCACTAAACTATTGTTTCACTCATATAAGTTCATAAGTGATCATTGCCATGGCTCTACTCTCAACTTCTGCCTTGGACAACACAACAACATTTTGCTTCTTACTTTTTTAAGATATAAGGTTGTCATCAATAAAGACATAATATCTTGAAGTAGATCTTCCATCAATAAGTGAACCAACCCAATCAACATTAGAGTATCCCATAACATGAACATTACCCTTGTCTTCATACAATAATCCTTGATGTGGAACATTTTTAAAATATCGTAAGATTCGACTACATCAATCCAATGATCAACACATGGAGATGCTTGGTCATAGAGGCAAGGATTGGACTATAGACCATTTGGTTATAAAGGCTTTGATACGATATTTGGTAGCCAGGAGGAGCCCAAAGCAAGGGGAGACTTCTTTAGCTAAGCGGAAAACCACGACAAATGGGTTTTGACACCATATCTTAAACCAAAACCTTAAGGCAATGAAGTCTATGGTGTTTTCACTTATATGGTCCTCACTTAGTCTATTCCTAACCGACGCCGGACTTTATCAGTTTGCTTCCTCTCAAGGGGAAGCCAGACCATTGGCTTTGATACCATGTAGAAAGGATTTGTGAAATGCTTGAGGAAATCCTCGGTAGCTCCTTCTACTTATGCAATATTTACAATCTCCAATAATTGGAAATTAGGAAATTACAATATCTAATATTAGGAATCTAAGAGTATAATATAAGGAAACTTGGAAACTAGGAAATCAATGAACATAATACAAATCAGATCATAATTATTTACAGAATATACAATCCCCTAAATAGAAGATACGAGAAGTTCTCCCTAAATAGAAGATACTTTCCAACGATGACATCTGCATGACTTGTGTTCAAATCTTGGGATCTTTTGTCAGTAAGTAATCCCTAATCCCACCATAAATCCTCTTTTGGATTTGTGGTTTTCCTTAGAATGGGGAGAGCCTCCCTTCATCCCAGACTTTTTTCTCATAAAAATATAAAATAAAAAGATGCACATAGGGCTAGAGCTTGAATTAAATGATATCATCTAATGAATAGTTTTTAGCAATTTTTTTTCAAAAATTAAAAATCTAGAAGCATACAATCCCTTTCAGTGATTGTTATTTCACATGCAGTATAAGTTAGCATGTATTTCTCTTTGATTTTTTATTTCTTTATTCAAGGAGTCCCTGACCTATTCATGTCTTGTCATGTTTTGTTTACAGGGGCAACCAATGATGCTTTATACAAGGAATTGTGGCATGCCTGTGCTGGACCACTTGTCACTCTTCCTCGTGAAGGGGAGAGAGTTTATTACTTCCCACAAGGTCATATGGAACAGGTACAAGTTGCATGGGCATAGGTTATTTCTGACTTTAATTGCAGTGAGATGCTTGTTCTACTAGTTCTGAATCTTGATCCAGCGCGAATTTTGGATGCCGTAGCTTAATTGTTCTGTTTTCAATGGTTTAAGTCTTTAAGATTTTATTGGCATGGGTTCACCTTCTGATGTTTTATACTTTTATAACAATTTAACCTGAAAAATATTTGTTTGTTGTTGACCTGGCTTGCTTTTTTGCGGAAAATATCTCTGTTTGGTTGGTTATTTAGTTTTAAAACTGTGCTAGTGTTTGGTTGTATTTCTCTTTGCATCCTTTAGGTTTTGTAGTCTGTCGAATTGTTTATGCTTGCGCCTTCTGTTATTACAGTGTCATGTTTCAATTTCTTTCATTAACATTTCTAATTATAAGTAACTTTGATCCATGATTCCTGTCAATTTTTATGTCGAGTATAATATACTTTTTGTTGTATTTAAAGTTTTTGTTTATCTTACCTGTGCTTTTTTATTTTATAGCTTGAGGCATCTATGAATCAGGGATTAGAGCAGCAAATGCCTTCCTTTGATCTACCTTCTAAAATATTATGTAAAGTGGTCAATGTTCATCTTCGGGTGAGTCATGATTTTTCTTCACAATCTTACTGGACACTTTGTTTTTGTCATTCACTCATTTGGAAATTTATCATGCTTTACTGAAGCTCATTTTGGTTGTATAGGCTGAACCTGAAACGGATGAAGTATATGCACAGATAACTTTGCTTCCTGAAACAGATGTGAGTGCTCTTTTATTATTTGCTTGACATGGTCAATATATTTAACCTTTTCTGTTCTTTTGATTTATCTCTCAAATCATTTTTCCATTCATAGTGTTTCTTGTCCATTTGATTTTTCTTTTTTTTATCTCATTTTATGTATGTATTATTTTTCTGTGTTGTTGGTTTAGCAATGCGAGGTGACAAGCCCAGATGATCCTCTGCACGAACCTCCAAGGTGTGCAGTCCATTCATTTTGCAAGACACTTACTGCTTCTGACACCAGCACTCACGGAGGTTTCTCTGTTCTTCGAAGACATGCGGATGATTGTCTGCCACCACTAGTTAGCAACTTTTCTCTTTTCAAAAGTCATTAGAGACACTTGATCATGCTAATCTTTAGCTGCTCTTTACTCTTTATGATTCCCATGTTTTGTTCAGGATATGACTCAGCAGCCACCATGGCAAGAATTGGTTGCAACTGATTTGCATGGGAATGAATGGCGTTTTCGACATATTTTTCGAGGCAAGTAACTTGGCTGTTCTTTTTCTTTCCCAGTTCCCTCTTATCTTTGAATCTTGTTTTATTATGTTAGCTTGGTAAAGAAGATTCTATTGCAAGGGAGAGCCTTAAAGCAGTGATGAGGTTGTTCCTTTGTAACTGAAAGGTCATGGGTCCAAGTCTAGAAAACCTTCTTTTTGCAAAAGTGTGAGGATAAGGCTGCGTACAACCGACCCTCATCTCTACCCCCACAAAGTCGGGGAGCCTTTGTGCATTGGGGTTTGCCTTTTAAAGAAGATCTGCTGCAGTTTAGTTTGAAGCATTGGGTATTTCTGCAGATTTGATATGCTGAGCAAGCCCCATCACCCTGCTTGTGGAACACATGGCAATTGTTTCAAAGTACAACAAATTTTAGGACTGTACTTGTAATGCCAAGCATGCTTATCAGTAAAACTTTGCACATAGTTGTACTTGGAAGGGGATTAGTTTCCTTTTTATTATATCAGCCTTTCATGCAATATATATGTATATGTATGTTCCTCTTTTTCAATTTGCAAGTTAACCTATGGCTACTTAACTTCTGAAAGTTTTGTACCAGAACAAAACCAATTTTAGGTTTTAAATTTGAGGGTGTATAGTTTACTTAGTCATTTTAATTTTTCTCCTTATGGCCTGTTAAATTTTTTGAGTTAAGTTGATTTTACTCGTCAGTTGCTTCTTCAGTAAAGGTTATGTTAAATAAATCTTGACAGCTTTCATAAATTTGTGGGTTCCCACAGCCACTCAGCTATTATGTTGATGACTTTATAAAATGAGATTTTGATTTTCATACTGTCAGTAAGTTCCTGACTGCGTGGAGTAATTTGCAGGGCAACCTAGGCGTCACTTACTGACCACTGGGTGGAGTGTCTTTGTCAGTTCAAAAAAATTAGTGGCTGGTGATGCATTTATATTCTTAAGGCAAGTTGTTTAGCAGAAATATTATATCTCCCTTGGGAGGAGAAAAAAAGAAAAAAGGGGGGGGGGGGGGAGACAAAGTGCTTTGCATTTTTTTCCATGGCTTTTGTTTGTTAATGTGGTTAGTGGTTGTGGTTGCTTTTTCTTTCATGCAATATTCTAGGGGTGAAAATGGAGAGCTGCGAGTTGGAGTCAGGAGGCTCATGAGACAGCAAAGCAACATGCCCTCTTCTGTTATATCTAGTCACAGTATGCATCTTGGTGTTCTGGCCACTGCATCTCATGCCATTGCCACTGGAACGTTGTTTTCTGTATTTTACAAGCCCAGGTCTTGTATATAACACTATGAATTTATTATTCATCTTATATTTAATGTTTTTAGTTCATGATGTTGGTGTTATTTACTTGTCATGTTTTGCTAGTGAGTACTGATTTTTGATACCTTGAATTAAGGGAACAATTTTGTTTGTATATGTGCATGTGGCTGCCTGCTTTCATGAAATTAATGAACTATTTTCTTTTTGCGTGATATAATTTGATTGGGATGATATTTGAGTTTGCTTTTGTTGCTTTACTGAGTTTAGACTATTTGCTGACTTATCAATATTTATCTTAGGACAAGCCGGTCTGAGTTTATTGTGAGTGTCAATAAGTATCTTGAAGCTCAAAGTCATAAACTTTCTGTTGGAATGAGATTCAAAATGAGATTCGAGGGCGATGAAGTTCCTGAAAGAAGGTGCACTAGCTGGTTGCTTCAAAATTGATATTTTGATTTTAGCATATCATGCAATCTGATAAATGTTCCTCTCCCCCTGAATACAGGTTCAGTGGTACAATTGTGGGTGTTGGAGATAATAAATCATCTGCCTGGGCTGATTCTGAGTGGCGGTCATTAAAGGTTTGTATTCATGGTTTTAGTTACTCTTCCGATGCTTACTTTTGTAGTAGGCATTCAGTAAATTCAATTTGTTTTAAATGTTGCAAAATCCTTTTTAATTTTAGTAAATATACCAAAAAGTAGAGTTATTCTTGCATCTCTTTGAATTTCCCTTGAATGGTCAAATATTGACGTTGCTTTGTTTGTGGAACAATCTAGTAAATGATATTTCCTTAGATGGTTGGAAACTCATCAATGGACGCATTGACTGACCTAAAAGGAGATGTCATAAAAAATACATTTAGCTGCCCAAAATGGCTATGATTTTGTATACATGTTGAGTACAAAATAGAAATGCTGACACCTCCAAATTTCTATTCACTAGGGTTTGAAAATTACAAAGCAGCTTTTGGTTCATTAATCTTATGATTTATAATGTATTTCAGGTGCAATGGGATGAACCATCATCAATTTTGCGTCCTGATAGAGTTTCTCCATGGGAATTGGAGCCCCTTGTGTCGACCCCTACTGCAAACTCCCAGCCGACACAAAGAAACAAGAGATCACGGCCTCCAATTCTACCTTCAACAATGGCTGATTCTTCTCTGCAAGGTGGCTTGGTCATACATAATTACTCTATGCCAATTCTGTTATCCATGCTTCTATTCTACATAATTATTTTTTTCTCTGTGCATCAGGTGTATGGAAATCACCAGTTGAATCTCCATCTTTCTCTTACCGTGACCCTCAACATGGACGAGACCTATATCCATCACCCAAGTTCAATTCTACTGCCAGTAACTTTCTTGGTTTTAGTGGGAAGACTTCTGCTTCCAACAAGTCAATGTACTGGTCTGGTAGGATGGAAAACTCTACAGAATCCTTTTCTCCTATAGCACTTAAAGAATCTGGAGAAAAGAGACAAGGCCCTGGAATTGGCTGTAGGCTCTTTGGAATTGAGTTACTGGAGAACTCTAATGCAGAAGAAAGTATGCCAACAGTCACTTTGTCAGGAAGGGTCTGTGATGATAGGTCTGTTCCATCTTTTGATGCTGAGTCTGACCAGCATTCTGAACCATCAAATGTTAATCGATCTGATATTCCTTCAGTAAGTTGTGATGCTGAAAAATCATGCCTACAGGAGTCACAAAGCAGGCAAATAAGAAGCTGCACAAAGGTAGCATAACTGTTTTTAGTGTAATACACTGTCACCCCCTCCCCATTTTCTTATACAGTCCCAGACCTTCTTGGCATATTTTTCCTATGCACTAGTTTTGTTGACTGTGACAGTTATATATATTCGATATTGCATCTTCAATTTACGGAACTCTATGATGATTGTAGCTCCTGATGATATATTTTTAGAATCCATCTGCATCATTGACAGCATCTGATACACAATCAGCAAATATAACGGGGTAGGAAGTTCTAACCTGTAGCAAATGTAGTTTATTCCCACCTGATGCACTATAAATTCCAATGTTTTCGTATGCGCCAGAATCTTTATCAAATGGTGCATCTAGGAAAAATGTTTCTCCTTTTTCTTTGAAGCCTCAATTGTAGTTTTGACTTCTCTACCATGGCCATTCTGCGATTTTGGTCCCCTTAATTTTTTGCGGCAATTGAATCCCTCAAAACGAAGTCCTGTTGTCAATCTGCCACCAATTACTAATAGAAGTTAATGACATGGCTAACAATTTATATATGTAGCATGACACTTTATTGAGCTGACATCTTGACGGAGTCACTAGTGACTATAATCTCTTTAAATCTCCCAACATTAATCTATTTAAGTAGATTAAAGTCACAAGTGGATTCGTTAAGATGCTTTACTCAATAAAGTGTCTTCCCGCCTATGAACATCGTTGGCTACGTCAATAACTACTGTTTGTAATTGGTGATTGATTGAATGAAGGATTTGAATTTGTTAATTAAAAAAAAGGGAGATTTGATTGCTACAAAGAAATTATTAGGGGATAAAAATCCTACATTTCCCGTAGTAGGGGGACCAAAAGTGCAATCAAGCCTTCGTAATAGAATACATAAATTTTCATTAGCCTGAATATTCTCTTAGAAGTTTGGGTGATAGAACCATAAGCATGGTTCAGGAATGGTCGAAGAAGGAGAAGGCCTTACAAGTTTATACCTGTACGCCTAGGACTGCTAGAGCTTAATTGTAATTATGAGGGAAACATGTAAGTGCAATGGGGAAGTTAGTTATCGAGAGTATAGCTGACATAGAATATAGATCTGATACAAAATAGAAAATGTAACGAGTACGTTCTATTTAGAAGTACTGCTTGTTAGAATAGTTAAGAGTATATCTAAAAATATCATGATTATGTGTTAGAATAGTTCAATGTATCTTAGATGATCTCTTAAGATGTTTCCATGATTATATCTTAGTATAATTTCGGGTACCTTAGATGATTTCTGAGGATTGGTTTTTATGTTTCTTTATATTTCATGATTTGTGTTTTTATTTAATTAGGACTAGAGTATGCTATTAGTATAAGTAAGGGATATCGCCTTGTCTTTTGTAACATGTCATTCATATAAAATCCAGTCTTTATTTTCTCTTTTCCGCCTTATGCTAAATCCCTATAATCTTTACATGGTATCAAAAAGGTATCGTCCTCCATGACCAGTCCCCTTTTTTTTCCTTTATTGAGTTTCCATAAATATGGAACTCTATTATAACAATGTTATCTCCATTATTCTTTTTTTCTTGTATATGATGCACAAATTCCGACCACCAAAACCCTAGACTAAAGACAATTACTAATTTTTTTTTCTTTGCTCTCTTTCCTGTTGGGTATTATTGTTGATTTTCCAATGCTAGCTTGGCATTGAGCGGGGAGATCAAGAATGAGAAAGTTAGGTCTTTCCATGCTGATGAGCAGTTCGACAATCTTACCAGTAGTGACTTTTCTTCCCATATTCATTGTGACTCACACCAGCCTTGTCTTTGTCCCAGATGCAACTTGGCCCTGTCTCAACTCATAGACGCGATGCTTTTTACATCATCTCTAGTCTTAGATGTGGTCTGGTCCTGTCTATCGCAGTTGCAATCTGGCCCCGCATTCGTCCCAATTTTTTTTCCTGAGTTTTAATTGGGTTTCTTAAGATTTTTTCCCCTATAACTTGAAGCTTCCAATTGTTCTTGATGAACTTGGAGAAGTTGTAGTTCTTGCTATCTATAATTGCTAGCTAGGAAATTTCCCTTGATGACCATTCTAGTGAAATCTCTTCTTCCTTAGTCATGTAACATTCCAACCAGCTCTTTTGGTTGATAATCATTCCAGTCATATTATTGAGTTACCTTTCCTGCAATGCTCATCTCTTTGACATTTCTAGCATCCTTGACTTCACTTTCTAGCCATGTTTTGTGAAGCCTAGATTGTTTTATTTGTAACAAGCTTAAAGCTTAGTAAGCTTTGGCTTAAGGGGGAGTGTTAGAATATCTAAATGATATCTCATAATATGCTAATTCTGTCCTAATTTCATCATCAGTACAATATTCCTTTTGTAGATAGGAACCGTTTCTTATCAGAGGTTTAAAAGGCTTCTATTTTGGGTGGTTCCAATTGAATTTTATTGTTCATCTGGTTTCTCTTGAACTAGATAGTGGTTTAGCATCCTCTATTAGAGGGAAGTGCCTGCATAGTATAATAAGATTATTTATGATACAAATTTAATATTATTCCAGGTTCACATGCAAGGTATGGCTGTTGGAAGGGCTGTGGATTTAACACGGTTTGATGGATACGAGGATCTGCTTAGTAAATTGGAACAGATGTTTGACATCAAGGGTGAGCTCTCTGGATCCACAAAAAAATGGCAGGTTGTCTACACTGATAATGAAGATGATATGATGATGGTTGGAGATGATCCATGGCTGTAAGATCATTTGTTTACTTGGACACTTCTGTTTGTGGCATAATATTATGCACTTTTGAATATATGTGTATATTAAATCCTTTCTTGCTAAACTGCAGTGAATTTTGTAGCGTTGTGAGGAAAATTTTCATCTACACAACAGAGGAGGTGAAGAAGCTTTCACCCAAAATAGGACTTCCAATGAACGAAGAAGTTAAACCAAGCAAAGCGGATTCTGAGGCAGTAGTCAATCCTGAAGACCAGTCATCTATTGTGGGGCCTGGTTGCTAATTCTCCTAGGTCTTCCAATACTTTTGTTGTTATATACAATAAATATTGGCAGGAAGTAGAACGTGAGAGAAATGAGAATGAACCTGGAGAGCACTTCATTCTGCATCTATGCTGGAGCAGCATGACAGCACCAACGCAGAGGGCTGGTTTGATATAATGCTGTTTGATCTACCTAGGCTTCCGGTATTGTGGGTTTTTTTTATTTTATTTCTTCTATAGCTCCGTTTTCGCCAAGAGTCCTGAGGCCCTTGCTTGTTCATTTTTTAATGGGCTGCGAGCGTGAAGATATGTCTTTGGTCAAGTACCTTACTATGTATGCATTTGTTTTTTGGTTCTTTTGTGTTTCACTTGATGTGAGGCATCGCATTTCTGTAGATAACTTAATATATGTGTAATCTTTGAATACTATTTAATGTATGTATATCGAGCCATTTTTTATCATTTCCTTAACTGAATGCACAATCTGATCTCTAGTTTTTTTTTTTTTTTTTTTTTTTTTTTTAACATTAACGATTTCATCGGCTGGGCAGTTTCATTTGAATCACTCTGATCACACAAAACTTGGCTGGCTATTAAATTAGATGATTGATGATCAAATGGTGGGGGATGAACCTCTCATATAACAAAATATCACAACTGCATGTGAGATCATCTCAGCCGTCTATAGGTAAATCAGTAGTGAAGAGAGATTAGAGAGAAAAAGCATTAGGGTAGAAAATAAGGAAATGATAACCGTTGATTTGTTCACGAATGGTTTGAATTGTCTTACATAAACTAATCACGTTAAATGAGATATGAGATTATCTATTCCTCTCGTGATGGGTTTCAGCGTATGATTGCTCAGTACTTACTTTGCAGGAATGGATCCTCGTGTCTCATGAGGTCATGTGGGAGGATACCCTTACATGACTTTACTTCGCATGAGGGGAATCAGTCTCCTCGATCAACATTGTATCTTGTGGCTTGTGCAACTTTTTCTATATTTTATTTTTTTAGCTTTTTATTTATTATTAGAAAGTGGGATTTCACTATATATTTCTCAAGATTAGCACAGAGAATGCCTAATGTAACCCGTTGGTTTTGTATTTAAGCTCCCAAAGCCAGTGTAATTTAATTGATAATTCTCAAGTTATTATGGTTTTTTGGCATTTTGCATTTTTCTGGAACTCATTTGGAAAATGCAGTTGTCTTTCCCTATTTTCATTTTAGAAAATAGATTGGTTTAGGATATTATGAAAATAATTAACTTTCACAAAAGAAAAAAGAAAAAAGAAAAAAGAAACTTCACTTGCGACTTTTTGAACCTTTTTTCTGGAATAAATTGAATTAAAAAAAAAAAAAGTGACATTAAATTGGGTGAAAAAAGTGGACGGTTTCAGTAGTTTCACAAGGGCAAAATCTCTTGATTCCATTGGTTTTAGGGATCAGAAGTCTAGCTTTGGACAGATCATCATGCCTTTCGTGTCTTTGAAGGCAAGTAAGTCCCTAGGCGCCGGGAAAATAAAATAAAATAAAATAAAATTCACTAGTAGTTTTTTATTTTCATCTATGTCAAGCTTGAATTTTTAAATCAGGTCTAAATTTTGTCTAAGTTCAACAATTAAGCTTAATTTTGAAGTCCAAACCTTAAATTTTTAAATTCGAATTAATTTTTGGGGCAATTCCAATTGCGCACCCTAGGAGCCATACCTGGGAATTGAGTACCAAACTCGGTACTTATTTTTTACCAAATTAGAAAATTTTCATTTCATATGAATTTATGCCTTTATTCATATTTCCTTTTATCTCCCAAAAATTTCTTCAAAGCGTTGATTTCCGTCAATCTAACGATTATAATTTATTGGGTCACACTTATTAATTAATTATTAAATTTCAATAAATTACAACCGTTAAATTGACAGAAATCAACGATTAAGATTTGATAGTAAGAGGTGGTAAGAAAAAAATATAATAAATATAACATTTTATTACATGAGAATATATGTATATTACATGAGATAAAATTTTCTTTAATAGATTTCATTCACTTTTTTGTGTGTTGAAGGAGATAATTTTATCTCACGCCCAAACATATTCGGTGTAAATAAATTGATGATCCTTCTACTTGTGGGCCTAAAATGGAATTATTATGTAACGGAAACTGAGCTGTAGAAATTAGAATAGTAGTGGATAGACAACGGTCAAATATTTGAAAACAAAGAAGAAAATGTCTTCAAAGCGCGCTCCTATTAACGGTAAATCGCTTTCCAAAGATGTTGTAATTGCATATTTGACATTGACATTCATATTCATATATGTATGCGACAACAGCATAAGCCAAGCCATATCCTCTCGTATTAATGAAGAACGTAATCAAGGCTGTGAAGAAACTCAAGTTGTGGGCCAAAAAGAAAAGGAAGAAGAAGAAGAAGACCCATGAGCATGAGCATGAGCATGAGCATCCTCCTCCACCACCCTGTCACTATTGCTGCTCCTCCACCTTCCAGCCATCTGCTCCCACATTACCTTCATCTTCATGGCTTGAAGCTGAACCCAACTATGGGACATTCTTGCCACCCCAGTCCCAGGAAGTGGTCTATCCAATTCAACCACAACAACAACCACAACCACAAGACATTGCTGTCAGCAGCAGCAGCAGCTCTAACTCATTGTATCAGCAATATATGGTTTCAGTTTCAGAACCAGTTTATGGCATTCCACTACTGCCAGTAACAAGAGAGAGAACAGCTGGTCATTTTGGATGTGTTTTTAGCTATGGTACTAATTTGTTTCGCTGCTTATGCCCATGTTTTCATATTCGAGAACTAGTTTGAATCCACTACTTGTCTCCCCTTTCGCAACTCATGCATGCTCCTCTCTGTCTCCCCTATTTTTTGTTGAAGATCTTTATGTACCACCCAAACAATATTAGCTTCTTTAAAGTGCTCGAGATAAAATATAGAAAACTTTGGAGATAGTGTTTGAAGTTTAAGGATGTAATAGTCAATGTTTAATCCTCCAAATCTTGGATAGCTGAACGAACAAATGCAGGTGGCCTGGTTCTAAACCTTATCTGCTTAATCTCAATAAACCAGACTGATTATATGTGAACTAGTTTATATTTATGTGTATCACTTGAATTTTTGAATCGCATATTGTGTGCACTGTGTTTATATGCAGTTATTAGGATGCATTTCATCGGGACAATGTTTAAGATTTTTTGATACTCAGAAGTATTCTGAAATAATACAAATTTATTACTATTCAATATTTGTTTTAAACTAAGAAAAGACAAAATATAAGATTCTGACAATTTTTAAGATTTTCATATTTATCATTCAATATTTTTACACTTTAATCTTAATAACGATTTATTAATAATGTTAATATATTTTCATATTTGCTTTCTCTCCTCAATACCAACTCAAACTCCTCCCCTTCTTCTCTCTCATTTTTTATTTGGGTTGTCATTATCATTTGCTGTTTGGTTCAAAGGCCTATTAAGATACAATGAATCGATCGTATTAGACACAGCAATTCAAACGTAGTCGGAAGCATTCTGGTGGTCTTCGTCTCCGACGGAATCTTCACGTGTCTTGAGAGTGCTTGGGCTTCGATGGAGTTCAGCGGGAATCACAACCTTAACGCCTTCCTTGCATCACTGACAAGCCACAGAGAACATGGAAACAAAGAATGGAAGAAGAAAAGAAAAGAAAAGGGCAAGATGCTCCAGAGTGGCAAGTATTCCACTGCGCATAGTAAAATATTCGAGCCTATTTTACATTTGCCAGTTGGCAGGAAAACATTACAACTGCTTCCAAAGCTCGGATAACACAAGGACAACGAGATAGCACTCCCGTTAAGTGCATTAGTCCAAACAAAATGAATAAATAAATAAATAAATTTTGACTTGACTGAAGTCTAACTAACAAGTACTGAGAATATCATACAAGTAGAATTAGGAGTGTCTCAGTACCAAAGTCGCAATTCTCAAGCAATGAAGAGAGTTGAGAATCCCAAGCAACAAAACTAAGGCTCTTCTAATCCCCACTCTTCCTAAATCCTTAAGAAATGGACTTTTCTAGGAAAACTAGAAAGCCTTGGAAAAGATTATTACGCGTTAAAATACCTTCTAGCAAAACCATCACATTAGAAAACATCCTGTCAAACATCATATAACCCTGACACTAAATTCATCTGTCTGCAACTATTTTCTGGAGTCACAGCCCTTCCTCAGTCATTGCTTAACCATGTTCTACCAATATTAAGATCATAACCAGTCTTCTCAATATAATAAAAAAATTTAGATTCTTTAGTGTGTTATAAGTAATTATATCTTCCTTTGCTTTCATGACGATGTCTATCCCCGCTTCAGTTCTTTACCATACCACTCTCCACTGCTCTCCTGACTTGCATTCTTAGTGTCTCCATTGATGGAATCCGATTTCTTCTGGTTTTTTAAGCTCTTCTTTTTGCGATGATATGCTCGTCTGTCACTCTTCCACCTAGACCAACCTCCATCGACATTGTCATTTTCATTCTCATAGTCTTTATAGTCTTCCTGAAGACCAGATCTTCTGAGTCTCAAGCTTTTCCTAGAGCCATCATGTTGTGCTTCCATGTCTCCTCTATCAAGCAAATCTTTCTCAGATTCAGATTCACCAATTACATTACTGTTGTCCCTGCTCTGATGTCTTGAGCTTTTCCTTTGGCCAATATTGCGCCTTTCTCTGTCTATATCCTCATCTAATCCAGCCTCATAAATCCAGTCACTCCTATCCCTGTTCCACTTTCGTGAGTTTCTTCCTTCTCTTCTGCCATGCTGTTTTCTAGTTATAGTAGCACAATCCAAATCAGAATCCTCTTGAAGGCTTCTGCCAATATCATCCTTGTTCCTATTAAAGGAGCTTTTCCTAGCGTGATCATGGTACTTTTCACTATCTTCCTCTTTATCAGTATCAGGAGTTCTGCCTCGCCATTTTCTTTTACGATTGTCTTTAAAGTTGGCATTCCATTCCTCATCCGGAGTTCTTTGCATTCTTTCATCTTCATGTTTGCTTCTGCCATAACGACCACTATTTAATCGATCCATATTCCTAGATCTTGATCTTCTTGAGTGATACCTGCAAAAGATTATGATATTATAAGAACAAGTATAAATTAACATGCAAAAATATACAGAAATACTGACATAATGAGACAAAATATGATAAATAAAATATATCTAGACAAAATGAATAACTTGGACTTCAATCCGAAGAAATTTATTTAAGTTACTTTTTCTCTACATCCACAAATTTTATTAGCCATAAATTGTAGTTATTTCCCTTGATGTAGCAAGGGAAAAAGCAAAGCTGTATAGTGTAGTCTTCAAAAGAAATTCTTGTATTTGATAGGAAGTTCTAGATAATTGCTGTTTTTTTTTTTTGGGTAGACTTTACAACGTTCTCCCTGGAGGATTCTTGACGTTGATCTTTTGAATGATCTACAAAAGCAACATTAAATAGAATTTCCATCCTGTTTGCTCTAACCCTTCAACCTTTACAGAACCAATCATAAACACACAACTATTTCTTCCAACATGCCCAAAATTATCATAAATTTCCTCAATATACAATCATTTACAAAGATTCTCAATTTGTCCAGTAACCAATTAAATCCATTGCATGCCATGGAATGCGGAACAATAATGTGAAAGCACACCTGTCAGAATCTGCTATTGACATGTTGCTGGAGTTCTTCAGCACACTCAAGTTTCCTTCCTCCCTTGAGGTCTCATAATCATCAGAATAACCAAATAAAGCGACCATCTTTTTTACCCAATGTTTTGGAGGCCGTTTGTCCAAATTAGCCCATTCATAGTCTCCACCAGGATTACGGAAACAGTGGATAAAATTGCAAGCTGTTCCACGGCAACAAGTCTGTTAAGATGCAAAAGAAGAGCAGCATCAACATATGAATGATAACGATTCAGCAATTCAAAACACTTTCTCACACACTATTCGATGTAAAAAAACTTCAGCTGAAACCAATCGAGAGCAAAGGTCATAAGATTTGCACAAATGTACCAGGCAGCAGTTGGTTGAATCCAAAAGACAAAATAAAGATAGTCACTGCTATACTTGTATACCTTGAAACCAGACTTCATATACTCGCCACATATGGCAACCTTCCATCTGGTCAAATTAACAAATGTACAACTTACCTGCCATAAATCATAGTCAGACAAACAGATGGACAATGTCAAGAAATTCAAGTATTCTGCACTTGACCGTAAAAATCCTAAATCTTTCGATCTACCAACCTAAACTGTCATCTGTCAGAGAAACTCTAAATTTCACATAACCTTTCAGTACAGAGCTGAACCTTCTCTGCCTTATTCCAACCTAAATATGGTCTACCATTAACCAGTATTGCATCAAATATTAGTTCAGGCTTTCCTTGGATTTAACAGGAGTTACAGCACATTAATACAAAACCAGGAAATTAACGTGTTACTGAACATACTAGAGGAGAAGTCCTAAGTATATATCCAAAGGCACACAAATTACTATCATACGTGGAGTTTTAATGAAATTCAATCAATCATACTTACAACATTCAAGATATAGGAATGCAATACCTGTTTCCCAGCAAAGTAGCGACCATTAACTGAGTTATAAGCAAGCAGAGCAGAATCCAAAGATTTATACTGTACATAGACATTTCCTCGCAAGTGATATGAACCATTCTTACACACCTGAGAGGGATATATATATATATATATATATATATATATATATATATATATATAATAGGATCAATGCCCTAGATTAAAGAAATTGTATAATCGGAAGGTGCAGGGAAATAAAAAAGAGATATCTAAAGACCTTCAAATTTGATTTTCACATCAGCTTCAGATTTCAGTTTACAAAATATTGTTCTTCTTCTATTTGCTTCACAAAATGGAAAAATTGATATCCCTTTTTTTGACTCATTTTTAAATACCTCCACAATTTTATTTTTTTCAAAAATGTTGGTTTACATATAATAAGAAAAGAGGGAAAAGGATAAGACATAGCAAATAAAAAAGGGCAACTTGGTGCTATAAAGCTGCTAGGCTCAGGGTCCAACAAGGGTCAGACCCATTGTGAGTTCATATTAGGTTGCCTTTACCTTACATTTGCAAGACATGACAAATACATACAGAAAATGCTTTAGTAAGTTGTCCAATTGATTTTTTTTCTTTCTCTATATAGATATATATAAACCATCACGGATTAACATTTATGATGTTTGGTGTTCCATATAGAACCTTGACAATTCTTTTCTATTTAAAAAAAAATTGATATGAAATAATGCCAAAATTGTTTGAGAAATATGATGTCAAAATTTCATGTGTAAAATACATAAATATATATGCATAGTAAAAAAGAACCTTGAAGTTGACAATTTCTCCAAACTTCAGGAACTCTGTGTGAACATCCTCATAAAATTCCTCAAAACAGCGTTCAACCTCCTCATCTGTACACTGAAAAAGTAAACAAAACAAGAATTTATGTATTAAAATATGATAAACATAAAACATATAGAGTAATAGTCCAATGAGTCTTACATGGATGGTCAAAATCAGTTTTACTCAAATATAATCTTGACCATCCGTGTAAGATTGAATGGTAAAGATCAACTCCTCTCACACTCTCACTTAATACGCCCCCTATCATAGTTGTTAAAAATGCACTATTCATGATTTGAATCACATGATTTGATAAAATTCGGTAAGTAAGCGATTTGTATCATGTATAATGTGATCTATAGGGGATGACTTTGAATTGTGCAATATATGCATGAATTGGTAAGAATCGCACCATTCAACAATTTAATTATTTTTTTTCTTTTTATGCGTTTCCTTCATTAATTCTCATAAAAAAAAAAGTCAAATAAGCATAAATTGTTAAATAAAAAAGAATTAAAGGAGTGTTAATGAATGCATTTTATTTGATTATTCAATTGCCCTATTTTTATTCTTCTCAAGCAAGACTTTCAAACAGTCACTCAGTCATATTATGTATCCTATTTGGCTATTTCATTGCTCTTTTTTATTTTTTATGAAACCAATGCTTAACACCTGTTGGAGAAGCAAACATCTTGCCTTGGCAGGGCCCAGTGTGGAGTCAGAGTCAGATCGAACTATGGCATATAGGCTGGTAGGGGTAAGTAGAAAGAGTTGCACCCTGACTAACAACTATAACTTTTGGCCCAGTGGTAACTGCTCGATCCAACACTTGGTATTAGAGTAGAGGTCATGGGTTCGATTCCCCGGGATTACACTTTGCAGAAGGTGGGTATTAGTGGGGGATTGTTGGAGAAACCAACATCTTGCCTTGGCAAGGCCCAGTATGGAGTCAGAGTTAGATCAACCCATGTCACTAGGGTTGGTAGAGAAAATTAAAAGAGTTGCGCCCTAACGAACAGCAATAGCTTTTGGCCAACTGGTAAGCGCTCGATTCAACAAAACAATCACTGCTCCCTCTATATGCACCTATTTGGCTATATCATTGCCTTATTTTAATTCTTATGAAACATAGGCTTCATACTGTCACTTTATATGACTCAATTATGATCTATGGTTTTGTTTTGTGAGAGTTATTGTCAAGTTGTCATATCAGTTTCTAGTTTAAAATTAGTACATCGAGCATTATACATCATTCATATGATATATTTCAAGCAATTATTCGTTGTGTCTTTGAATCTTACAATTCAATACAATTTATGATTCAAATATTAGTTTGTTGATTCGCAATTTGAATTGTGATTGGATAACCTTGCCCCCTTTATATACGTTTAAGTTGACGCCCATGTAAATAGTGTCTATGTTCGTTGTATGGACAAACTATAATTATGTAATTATTACGGTAATGAGGATAACCATGATCTCTATATTTATTACTTTTCTGGTTATATAATCTAGTCTCTGTTGTGTAGTTTAGACACACAGTTTCAGCCAATGTCTCATGTTTCCTCTTTACTTAACATGGTATTTAAAGCTTGACAAGAGGCAATCCTATTTTGTGCCTACCCGATGGATCCATTGCTAAGAGTGTAAATAAGCCAAGTCAAACTAGACTTTAGTTTAAATAGGCTAGACCTATGTTAAATATTGAGTTTGACCTGACTTTTTAGCCTGGTGTAACCTAAATTATAAGACTGATCTGACCTATATTAAAAAAATAAAAGGCCTGACCTAGACTTATTAGCCTATCAAGCCTTCAATATCTATTAATTAGAAAGAAAAAAGAATTACGATATAAGCTGGTCCGTAGGTTTGTAGGCCATACTTTGTAAAAATAAGCCTATGACCCTGTTTTCTAAACAAGTTGTTTTAAGACTTGAGCCTACTCTATATTGCTAAATTTATTAAACTAGACCTGACTTGATGTAAGCTGGATCGTACACCCCTGATAGGCCGTTTGACCCATTTATCCTCGTAACCATTTCTGGTTGATGATAATTTTTTTCGAAAAACCATATTTTCACTTCGGTTTCTAGTCTCTCGTGTCATGTCATCCTCTATACTCCTTGTTTTAGCATCATTTGCCGCCACCCCCTCTAAATCCGAAGTGCCTTTCCTTGTTCGGCCCTTCCCTGGTAGGCCTGCTTATACAGCCCATTGGATGCATCCAATCTTCGGTCTGCTTATTCTCTTCTCTGGTGCCGCCCTCTCAACCGCATGTGACAGCACATATTTCTAGCCACAAACAACTGTGTCGTGCTCTCCCACGCCTCCTTTCCTCGGATCTGGTGTTTACCAACTTAACCTGCACCCCGTTGGTGTCCATCCGACCTTTATCTCAATTGCCTAGGGTGCCCATGCCCTCCTCTACTAACATCTAGTCCTTTCCAACCTTTTTCTCCATTGCCCAGCGTGAACCATTGTTAAGAACTACTTCAACCCAAAACCTTAAGGTGTTGGGTGAATGTCTTTTTTAATGATTTACATTATTCTCTAACACACCCCCTCACGCAAGAGCTCTTTGAACTTGAAACGTGGATATTGCATAGGCCCAATTTTTTTTTTTTGGTTTTACTGATACCATGTTAAGAACTACTTCAACACAAAACCTTACGGTGTTGGGTGAAAGTCTTTTTTAATGGTTTATATTATTCTCTAACAAACATGGCTGAATTTGGTCCCACAGAGGCATCCAAAGATGTTCCGAAGGCTGAGGCCTCAATTTTCACCAACTATACGAGTGCACCTCTCTCTACAAACAAGTTGGTTGGTACTATGACACTTGGGCATCTAATATAGCTCTAGCTCAGCAGTTAATAATATATAGACCACCTCACTATAACAGCTGACTCGATCTATGTACCTGACCAGTCTAGATGGGCTAAGGTTGATGATCAACTATGCAGCACCATTAAAGCTACCATTCATCCTTCTTTGAAGTAGATCTTTTGCGAACATGTCACATGAGAATCAGTCTAGACTCAGGCTAAAGTATTCTATTTCAATGATACCCAACACCTCGATTGAGTACGCTGGAACTTCACGAGCGTCATTGCTCCTCGAAGGTTCAATGGTTCTATGTCTGCCTTGGGCAGATTCATGGAATGCTACATGACTTTAATGAACTTCTGCCCCCAACTGCAACCCCTGCCTAGGAGCTTGCATTGAGCTTGAGCAATGCAGTGCCTTCTTAATGTTACTGGCTATGTATGGGGGTTTACCCCAGAGTACTCCACCAAACATGATAAAATTTTGGGACCCTTGCTGTCCCAGCTTTGAACACGGTGTGATCCACCTTGCTATGTGGTTCAGCCAAACAAAACCGTTTGATGTGCCCCTGCTCCAGTTCCTGCTCCGGTCAATTCCTCAGCCCTTGTATTCCAATCATGCAACCATTCCTTATGACTTCAGAGAATTACTCCTTTAAACCAGTTTACTTAACTGGCAGCAAAAAGAGAGCCCCCTGCTCCAAGCTTCAGTTAAGGTTTTTATAATCAGCCTTTGAATTAGTTAAGGAATGATAAATATTCTGATACTGCATTAATGCATAGACCAATGTATTGATTTTTCAAAGTAACTTCAGTTTAAAATGTATTATTCATTTAGTATTCAAATTTGTAATGATTTTTTACATTATATTCAATCTGTATTGAAAATAGTACAATTTCATGAAAAATAATTCATTTATTCTATCTTAACCATCATCCCAAGGGCAGTAGTTAGCAAGAGTCTTTAAATAACAACAAGATTCATTGACTAAGTACCATGCCTGCTACAAGTCTGGAATTTTATGGTTGATAATGAAATATATAAGGTCTCAAGGTCGAAGTAAAATGGTCAGTATTATATATTAACCCCAAAAAGGTGCCAGCTGACATGAAGAGAAATACTCAACTAAGATGCACAATTCTATCTGAGACCATCTAATCACCGAAGAACCAATAAAACAAGAAAAAAGCACGCATGGAGGAATTGTAAAAGAGACTACAGAAATTTTGTTGACATAAATCACATAATCAACTTAGGCACAGCAGACTCAAACATGACACAAAAAATGTTAAAGTTATGTCTAGAATCCTCCCTCCCACAGACAAAAAATAAATTAAAAAATCACAATTGCGATGTATTTTAAGAATCACAAACTGCATCCGCTTTTTTTAGGTCTTGTTGCTGCAATCTCAAACCCTTGGAAGGTCATGACCATTAGCCTGCAACATAGCTCCATAAGCCATGACTCAGATATTGCACGACAATTACTTATGGTTAAGGAGCAAAAACATGTCAATTATTAGCGTAGGAAATTTTAGAAGCTATGACAAAGATTTTTTTTAAGAAAAAAATAAAGGATTTTGAATATACAATCTAATTATCTATTTTAAAAAATGTTATGTTGACATAATATTAATTGAAACATCATGGTAAAAGAATCTTAGCCTCCTACATAAGAAAAAAAAAAAAAAAAAAGTCATAAAAGTATGATGCTAATGGTATTAAACTCAGATAGTAAAAAAAGGTAGATAGATCAACATTTGATAGCTTATTCCCAAGCTCAGCTAGTAGGATACAACAGCTAATATCTTTAACTTCGAACAACCAAGGCCAAAACCATGAGCATCCACCAAAATGAATCTTGCAATGAATATCTGATTATTATTAAGTCAAAGAACAGACGAAATATCTATTAAGTAAGAGATATGAACTCAATAGACTCCTTTTACAAGGACAAATATCAGATGAAGCAACTGTACGAAGAATTCTGCAATCAAGAAAAATGAATTTCAGCCTATCAAACCATACACACTTTATGCACATGAGACGTAGGAAGGGAATAATTAGAATAGCTAAAAACCAACCACAAAAAGGAGAATAGTATACTTTATATTGGATTTCATTTTTTTTTTAATCAATAAATGAAGCACATCACATGTAGACAAAAGACATAAAAGGTTTATTATTTTATTAAAAAGGAAGAGGATTGATATAGAGTAACAAGTTGTAAAATGTAGAGCGTAAGTGCAGAAATTATGAGGATACAGTGGAACAGACCTCAAGGCCATCATCTTGCTCCCAAGAAAGGCCAGGACCATTGTACATGTTTTTGATAAGAAAGGTGCATGACTTATCAGGGTAAAGATGGACTCTGCTACAACGCTGACCAAAACGACATGCTCCGGTTTTTAAATGAAAAGGACAATGAGCTTTGTCCTGCCACACACAAATAAAGATAATAAGAAAGGGAGTGAGATATTAAATAAGCATATTGATTGAGAATGAGACTATTAAAAGAGGAAACCTGTTCAGTTCCAAAATTTGGTATTTGTTGAGCAACATTGTCGAGCAACTGTTGAGGGGGTGATTGCGGGGGAAAGGGATTTGATGTAGGTCGATTATCAGCATCCTGTTCCTGATGATGTTCCTGTTCCAGTTCCTGTTCCTGATGATGATAATAGTTCATAATTACACACAGATAGAGTAGAGGTGTAGGTGTAGGTGTAGATGTAGGAGATGAGAAACGCAATTCGAACATTACCTCGTGTTCCTTGTTTGGAGGTGGAACGGTAACCCTAACCCTGACTTTTTTCTTCTTGACGATGATCTCATTTCCTTGCCAAATAATCTGTGGAGGACCTTCTTCGTCGACATATTCGTATTGATCATCATCAGCAGCAGCAGCAGCGTCACCGTCAGTCTTGGATTCGGATTGCTGGAGAAGCTTGGCGGTGCGTTCTTCTTCTTGTTCCTTGATCATCTTCATGTTCTCCATCCAAGCCCTCTCTCTCTCCTCGAACTCTTTAATGTCCCTTTGGATCCTCTCAGCCTCTTGCTGCTCCATCAACTGCATCCTCCTCTGTTCCTCGGGATCGTTGAGACGCGCCTCTTCCTCCTGCCGCTCCTTCTCCGCCATCTCCTTTCTAATCTGCTTCCGCTTCATTTTCTTCATTGCTTTTCGCTTCTCCTTTCGACTCATCTCCTTCTTCGTCTCTTCCTCTCTTTCTTCCATACTGAAACTCAACTCAACGCCTCGGGATAAAATTACTAGACGCATTCTTTTGTTTTTAATTTATACAAAGACATTATTTTACGAGTAAATATCATTTTTTTCTCTAATAAAAATTACGGTCTCTACTTTAGTTTTTTATAAAAAAAAATTAGTCGACTAGTTTCTATAAAATTTAAAGTTGATTCATTTTAGTTCTTTTAAGGGAACTAATATGAGTCTTTTTTGAATTTGTGAGGACCATAATTTCAACTCAATGAGTCTATTTTAAATTTGTTAGGGATCTCAAGACTAATTTTTTTTTGTAGAAGACTACAGTGAAGATCGTATTTTTCGTTAGAGACAGAAAAAATATTTACTCTTATTTTTCATTTAATTTCTAAAATGTTTTTCTACGCTACTTTTTTATTTATTTTTGAATTTAATATTGTTGTTTTGTTTAAGACTTTAATGTTTTTAAGAAAAAAATATAAATAAGTTATTTATATTCACTTTTAAAATAATATTATTTTGTGTAAAAAAATTATTATAAATCTGAAATATATTATATTATAAAAAGGAGAATGATATTCTGACAACCAAATTGTGTTACTACAAAGTGACTATCAATTAATCTCACCGTCAGATCGATTATGTTGATCCAACGGTTATATTTATTTTCATCTTTGTATGGTTATGATTTCCCATATTTAAAGTGAAAGCATTAAATATGGGAAATCATAACCATACAAAGGTGGAAATAAATATAAAGTATTAAATTTGGGAAACCATGACATACAAAGATGTAAATAAATATAACCGTTAGATCAACATAATCGATCTAACAGTGAGATTAATTGGTAGTCACTTGGTAGTAACCCAACTTGGTTGTCACAATATCCTTCCCCTTATAAAAATATCTTGATTTTTGTAACAAAATTATATCATTTTGAGCTCAATATAAATAACTTATTTCCATTGACCGCAAATAACTTATTTACTTTGGCGGCACGAAAAACAAATCCTCTGTTTAATGGATTTAATTTAAAAAACTTATTAATCTCTGTTGTTGGAGACATCTTATCTCATATTATAGAGATAAATATGTCAACCTCTTTAATTTTATTTTTTTATAAAAAATAGACATCATATATGATGTAAGAGGAGATATTTCCAATAACAAAAAAAAATATTTTACCTCTTTAATTCTATGTAGATGTTTTCATTGGGTTAACAACTTTAATTAAAGCTAAAGTTTATATGTTCATCTTACTCACACAAACATATAATAACATCTAGGGCTGTTTGGTAGGAGTATATTTTTTAGAATCATAAAAAAACTTATTTGGGATTCCAATTAACTTACGTTTGTTAGAGGTTTTGCAAAAAAAATTTCCATGATTTCAATTTGTCCTGCATTTTCATTCTAGTGTAAAATAATGGTCAAAATACCATGAAGAAATACCACAAAGTAGGTGGTATTCGGTGAATCCGGTTTCTTGGACAAATCTACTTGTTTTTTTGGGACTTTTTTACCCTTTTTGTTGCTGAGTAATGTGAAAATTGCAAGCATACGTTCCACGAATACCTGGTCTCTGATCTTGGAAGACATAAGTGCTGAAGGGGTCCAATACATTGTCTTCCTGTCGACTGATTTGCTAATATCCGATGAGTTTTGTGCTTACCATCCGATACTTGAAGCTAATCTCCATTAATTTTGTTTTGTTTGTTTTGTTTAGTTACCCTTTTATATCCATATTGACCTTTATCTTCCATAAAAAAATTTCATTGCAGCCTATGAAGTGTTGGGAGAGATGTTGAAGAAAACCCAGGGAGGAAAAAAATCATCTTTTCAATGAAGATGGATCTATGAAACCCAGACTGTAAATCATGCAAAAGTAAAAATACAAAGGGGTTATTTTTGTAAAATAATCTCATTTTTCTATTAATATTTTCTAACCAACCAAACATAGAATCAATAATTTTTATCTAATATTTTCAGTAATATTTTGACCTATCAAACAATTTTTTGATAACATTCTCAGAAAACTCACTTTCCTATCATATTTTCGGAAATCGTGATTCTCGAAGAAAAAAAAAAATTCCTCTGAAATTTTGTGGGCTTTGTTATTGGGTCACGGTCCACTAGTCCAGTAAAATTACCCACGAAGACAACTGTCCAAATGCATGCCCAGTTCAAATCTTAGCATGTTATATTAACTAGTTTTCCTTCTGTCTACTCAATAAGATGAGTTTGAGGTATATCTACTATGACTATAGACTATAGATATCTTCATATGACATTATTGATAGGTGGTCTGAGAAACAATTCTGGCCATTCTGCTCAATCAAGGTTGCGGGAGATGACTCACTTCAATTTCACTATCATATTAGTGGCATGTTCTATTCTTCCTTCCTATGGTACTTGCAAGCTAGAGGCTTGCTTTTGCGTATAAGAAATGAAACAAAGCTCGAGTGCACACGGTCTGAGCTTGCTTTCCACTCTCACTTTAGTGCACTTGAATTCAGACATGAGACTCATTTAGTATATGGCTCAATAAGAGATAATCAAAATATAGATCTAATATAATTAAAGAAAAATATTAATTGAAGATATCAATCCTAATACGACGACATCATATTTGGACTTGGGCTAGAAGAAGCACATAAGATCTACAATCCTAATACTTACATGTAAATCTTATAAATAAAATCCACAAGTATGGAGGATTCTCTCTCTTTACCGTTATATTGTCATTGTGCACACACGTCATCCTTTTGACAAAAGTCATTTTCTTCTTATTTAAGAGTATCTAATTCATAGATACCTTAGAGAGAGCGCATCTAGATTCAAGATTAATTCATTGGTCCCTTAGACTTGACATATATGTCTCCCAGACATAAGAACATTGATTATAAATAGCAATCACGCTCTGAACCTACCAAGAACATGAAGCATAGATACGTACATATTAATTTTGAGTAATAAAGAATTAAGATGAGATCATTATAAGTAAGCAATTTATACAAGTAAATGTGCTGTCCCACCCCACTTGATGGCTGAAATCCCATATGTGGCCTTTGAGTTAGACAAGTTATCATGTATTGAACATGATAATGCATGGGACGTTCTTCAGGGTCACCAATAGCAAAGTGTCTTTACCAGCCTCCCATAATTGGTTGTGGTGACTTCTTTCCCTCTTTAATATGCCAATAGCCCAATAGTACTTGAATCTTCATTATATTATATTTTCTTTTAATATGTAGAATTTTTTTTTTAAACGGTTGCATACACAATAATTACCAAACATCATGTGTTTATTTTACTTATTTACTATTTTTTTATCCTAATTTTGTAAGTTGTAATTATAATAATATTTAAGTAAATCATTGTCATATAGCTTTATTAAGAAAGCAAGCAATAACAAGAGTATGTCATTTTAAACGCTATATCCTCGCCTCTATCTCTCTCTTCTTCGGTTGGACATTGTTTCTCTTCCTTAAGAATTTTTTTTTTTTTTTAATTTAAAATTGAAAAGAGAGAACGCCTTACCTAATAGAAGAAAGGAAGAAAGAGATCCTCTAAAAAAGAGAGAGGTAGAGGTGAGTATTTGGGACCTATTTTTTTTTTTAATTTTATTGTGTTTCGGAGCTATTGATATGAATCTAATGTGATGGTGCAAAAGTAATAATAAGGGTGGTAAAAAATCATGCCTTATAATAATCTAAGGAGGAACATGCAAATCGAGGAAAAAAAAAAAAAACAAGTTCCAAAAATCAGAGGTAAAGAAACAAAGAAATTCATATCATATCCATGCATTGTGCCCCTCTGTCACATCTCCCAGAACTACAAGCTGATTCAGTAAAATCCTTTGTTAGTCTGTAATACGAAGGGATTCCATGATGCTTTATAACTAATGATAAGGATTTTATGAAACAATTACAGCATAAATCATTATAAATTAGAAATTTGAGGTTCAGGATCATCTGTTTCTTTGCGGTGGTTGAAGAGAGGGAATAATCCCAAGACATGCTCCCGCATGAAATCATGCCTTGTCAGGATCCCAACAATTGGAGGAATCTGCACAATTTGTAATTAGAAATGTTACTCCAAGTCATCAATATATAAATTATCAGACACAAACACAGAGAGAGAAGATGAAGAAGAAACGTACTCCGGGTGTTTTAGGCACCACCAGCATGTGCCTGAGGCCAACCTGTCGAAAAAGAAGAGCAGCTTTTGCAAGAGACATTGTTTCCAATACCGTATACGGTGACATATTAGTAATTGGTTGAAGATCAACAAACATTTCCATTTCCTCTTCTGAAATGTCTAAATCCTCCAGCTTTAGCCCTTTGCCCGAACCTGGCTTTGCAAAATCATGTGCCATAAACATGCTCCTCGTAATGTTAGGCCCACTTATCAGCCTCTGCCGAGTGAATGTCCTCCTTTGTTTAAGAAGCACAATCAGATGAGACCTCAAAACCAACCCATACAACTTTGGAGCTTCCGAGAAAGGAGGCTTCTCAATTACGGGAAACCCATTATGTCCCGTCATCTTTAAAGTATGCACTATATTCCCCACTTTTTCAACGCTAGAAAAAGTAAACAAGGGTCCAAAAACAACATCACTAGCAACTAAATGTCTCATGTATGGCTCTGCATGTGCCTCCATATAAGGTAGCCCCTTCATTTCCATTATCTGATCATAAACACCTTTGTTAAAACAATCAGCCACGGACTTTGAAATAAGCAGAACTAGCATGACAGGCGGGAGCATGAGAAGGTTATCAGTGAGCTCAAGAAGTATGATACAAATAGAAACGGTCATTCTCATGGTGGCACCAAGAAAGGATGCAGCTCCAAGGAGGGCAAACAAACCTTCATCAAGAACAGTGAATGGTTTTAAGAGACTCCCCGCAAGACGCCCATATGATGCTCCGGCAAGTATCACAGGAATAAAGAGCCCAGAGGGAACGGCAATGCCATAGGTGATAATTCCAAGCAAGTATATTGCCACGAAGAAAATTACAAGACTAGAAAGCTTAAATCTGTTGTCAGACCCAGCAATGAATAGGTTTCGGATAGCATTTTCATTGGTTGTAAAAAAGAGGGAGGTAAGGTCATTGTAGTGGTTGGGTGGACATTGAGAGAACCCCACCACGCTTGCGCTTCGGCACTGATCCCCAATCTTCGTGTTAGGAAGACAAGGGACGCACTTTGATAGCAATGGAAGGCCCAATCGAATACAAGAGGTTACAAAGGAGATAATCATGACAAGTACAACTTTGAATATTGGGCCTCTCCTGCAATTAGTCATTAATCACCCACAATTAACACAGAAATAATATATATATATATATATATATATATATATATATATATATATATATATATATATATCAATTCATGGGAGGGACATAGACATAGACATACTCATTTATAATGGTGTGAGTGTGAAGGACCTTATCCACGAGATGATTGTAAAGGCTTCCCATAAGACCTCCAATAACTCCAAGAAATATAACTAAGAACAGGTCAGATATGCTGTACTCGGGCTTTGTTGAATTAACATCAAACATAATCAGACCTCCTTTCCCAAAAAGACCACATTTTCCTCCCTCACAATATTCTACCATAGTTCTCAGCACTACAGCTACTACAGCCGTTGTAAAGAAGGTGCGCCACAGAAGAGCACTCCTCCACCTGAAATTAAATATATATATATATAGAGTTTTATAAGAGTTATATTGTAAGAAAAGTGATTGTGTAATGTTATAGAAATTCGTTTTGCGTGCAGTAATTTTCTTTTTTTCTTTAAAAAGTGTGGGCCCCATAAAATATTTTGTGTAGAAAAATTTGTTGTGTGATGTTAAATGACAAATACAAACTCCGTGTATATATATATATATATATGTATGTATGTATATTATGATGCATTGCATGAAACAAAACATATATATAGGCTAGGACCTAGCTAACTAGGATACGAGAGAAATTAAGAGAGGACCATGAAGCTATTTCTTCAAGTGCGAAAAGGACACCACCAACAGGGGAACGGAAGGCACCGGCAACACCAGCAGCTGCACCACATGTGATCAAATCCCTTCGATCACGATCATTCTTAAAGTATCTTAGCCATTTCCACGTCAGCCGATATTTTCGAGAACCACCTTGTCCGAGTAAATTGGCTATGCAAGCACCAGTATGTACCATCGGTCCTTCCTTTCCCACAATAAATCCCGCAGCAACCCCAAAAATTGAACCAAATATCTGCACACTTCAAACCATATCTATCTTAAAAACTGCGTTAATTCCACATATTCATGTATGTATTCCTTTTTCTATTGTCTATTATTTTCATCAAGCAAAGCATGTCCCTAACCTTTACAAAGAGGGTACTCGGAGCCAATATAGAATGTGCATCTATACCATTAAGGTATGCCTTCACCTCGGGTATGCCAGACCCTGCTGCTGCAGGGGCAATGTAAGCACAGAGGGCTGCAGCAGCCATGGCTAAAATCATGTTACAACCAACATACACTGCAAAAGCCTGAACATACCTGTTCCACAGTAACAAAATATATCTTTGTTATTCCAAAATACAAAAACTGAACAATTGCTCCATAACATGTAAAATTAAGTCGTGTGTATCACACTGTTGTATAGAGACCAAATGATTAGCATTGGCAAACTTAGTACCTTAATGTTTCTTTTATATATATGCTATCCAACATTTTGTTCCTAATTAAGTTTTGTAAGGTAGAACATTTACTCAAACACCATTACAGATATATATAGACTGGAATACCAGATAACCCAAGTCTAAAAAATGAACTAAATCTACAATTATAATTTAATTAAAACTCAAAAAGATTGAGGATACTAGAAATTACAATTACATTATTAAACCTTAATTAAGAATATAAATAACGCACCGTAGTATAGGCAGGAAATTAGAAGCAAAAAACTCAACTAGCTAGTATAGAAATAGGATTGATAAGAATACACATACTTTTGTCTGAGCAAGAGATTGTTGGTGAGCAAAAGCTTGAAACCAGAAATATTCTCAACTCCAAGATTATTAAAGAAGGCAACAAACCCAGTAAATAAACCAATAAGAAGTGCAAATGTCCACTTTAGGACAACATACTGGTACATCTCAACCTTTGTTCTGGACCTCCAGTCCTGCTTGAAAAGATCATTCTCAATTGTCCTGCATGCAAAATGAACATAATCAGGCACAACTTATGCGATGCTTTTTTTATTAAATAGCATGACTCAAAAAACTACGACACCTCAAATGAGGAGAAACTCATAGGTGCTACTGTTCTTGCTCTGTATCATTAAATTAATAGCTCAGGCGGTACACGATAAATGATATTCTTCTTGTTCTAGGGACCACCTAAGAATTTCACTTAAACGAGTCCATGGTTAATTCATGAAACGTGAACTATCCGCTCTGATTAGTAACCATTTGGATTAATTTATTTTGAAAAAATAATTACATATTTTCCAGCTTCTTGAAAGAGCTTATAAAGGTAATTATTCTTCTTGTAAACATGACATTTATATTTTTTTAATGGGGATTTTGCTGTCAACTATGGAATTTATTGTGTTTAAATTACTATATTCTTTTTTTTGTTCCTACCTTAAAAGTTACACGTTTATGTCATACAAACAAACCGATTTTCTTATTAATTCGTTTACGGGACAAATAAATCGATTTTTTTTTCTCCGTGCATCGCACGGATAATCAACTAGTGTAAAGAGGTAACACGGATTGTGTAACGCCTCCCGGTACAATATTGTGGTTCAAGAACTCACATATACATAATACAAAAAAAAAAAAAAAAACTCACGTATACATTTTGATGAGAGAGTTTTAGGAAGTAGTGCCAAGAGCGCATGACTGTAAATCTTAAGGGTTTAACTACTCTTCTGTTGCTTTAGATAATTGTCTTCTGTCATTCATATATAGATAAATGTGCAATCTTTTTTTTGTTTTATTTTTAAAAAAACAATGGGATACATAGCTGAGTTTGTTAGTGTAGGAAATTCAACTTTTCAGAAGCAAAATGAGAAAAGTAAATCTCAAATCTTAAATATATTTTGGTAGGGTGAAAGATAAGAAATATAAATTAAGGCAGCAATTTCAATATGAGATTAATTTTTCCAACCCTCAACTTAAAACATTTTACAGTGTTTATATAATCATGTATCTAAATAATTTAGTAATATAATTTTATGATGCTGTATAAATTTTATAGTCAAAATTAAGCTCTTTGAAAAATATTCAAGCAACTTTCCAGCGATGGATCAAGAATTGAAAAATATATAATTTAAAAAAGGGGAGAAAAACGATGAGAAGTTTTTAGGTGCTGAGTCAAGAGTTCAAACTGCCCATAATTATGCAATAAGTGAAAAATGATCTAAATTATGATTGAAAAATATGAGCAGGAAGACAAAAGCAGAGAACTAGCAATAATGAAACTAAAAAAATAACATTAACAAGTACTGTAAAAGCTCACCTAGACGGCAAACATGTTTTTTTTTGGTACGTAAAAAAATAACTCATTGTACTAAAAAAAAAAAATAACTCATACATGGATACCGAAAATTAAAGATACCCGCAGCAAAATAATTATAATTTTCTTGGGTTCATCACAGCCAATAAAAAAACGGCAGCGGGAGAACCAATCAGAATCCTGTCTTTTGAGTTCAAGATTAAACAAACAGAAACTCACTCTGATATGGTGGACCATAATGTTGGCCCCCACGCCAGGAGAACAAATCAAAACGGCTTATCTCAAAGGTTTATCAATTTTTTTTTTTTTTTAAAACAAAAAACAAAACTCATTTGAATTAGAAGACAATTAAATTCGACGGTTTTAAATCATCAACATATCAATATCACCTTTATCTTGTCAGTGTTACATGAATCCAAATAAAATAAAATATATTGTATAACGAAGAGAAAAAAGTAGAGAGGATGGGAAGTTATAATACTCGTAGTCAAGACTCTGAATCGGAGAAAGTTTGGCTCCGACAAGAGCATACTGGGAAGTATTGTTGATCCTATGATCATTCTTCACAAGCAAGGGCTGTCGGAGCCTCTCAGCTGATTCGAACTCATTCTGAATCCCATCAGTTTCTCTCATCTCTCTCAGTAGCTTCCAAAACAATAATCTTGTTTTTTTCTTCCTATGTGTTGGGCCAGGACAGATTTAAATAATTATAAAAATCTTTGTCTCAAAAGAGTCTCTTTTCCCGTGTTTGGTTCAGGTGTCCCTCCTTTTTAAGATTAGACAGCTATAGATTAGACTGCTGACTTATCTGCATGTTTTAAGCAAATTATGCTTTCTGCAAAAAAAAAAAAAAAAATATTGGGAGACAAATAATATTACGCACAATGTTACGATCACATTTTAACTATTAATTTTTGTCAATCAACGATTATAATTTATTGTGAATTAATAATTAATTAATGAGTTTAATTTAAAAATGACAATCATTAATTGGCAGAAATCAACAAATAAGATGTGATCGTAATATTGTGCGGAACATTATTTGTGTGTCACAATAATTTATCTCGCAAAAAAAAATGTAAAATCAGAATATGGGAGTTACATTATTATTTGTCGCTTTCCTTTTCGTTTACTTGGACGTCATTCAACATGATAAAAGTACTTATTTTGCTTATTCCAAAAAAAAAATTACTTATTTTGCGGTGCGAGTTCGGAGTTCATGACAAACCGACATATTGGTTCCCAACTTTAGTTTTCTTTTAGATGCTCACAACCATAATCCGATTAAGATAAAAATATAATATAACACAATAATAAGAATTTATTACAGAATCTATACTATATTATAATTCAGAGCTATTCTCTGAAAAGTTTTGTCATGTATAATTTATATAATAATTTGGATTATTTTAAAAAGTATAAATTTCCATCTTAATCAAGTTTTTTAAAAAAATAACTTAATTAATTTAAATGTTAAATTAATAAAATTAATTTGAATTCTAATTTGAAATTTAAAATTTGAATTTAAATATAATAATAACATTAGATTCGATGACAATATAAACAATTAAGGAAACCAATTGATCGTCTCAAAATAAGGAAATCAATTAATTAGATTGATTGACTAGAATTAGGGAATTCAATTGATTGGATAAAAAAAACGAAAAGTTAGCTAATATGACTGGGAAGTGATGGGGTGCCAATCAATGGGATTGATTAGCCATCCTATTTAGTTTCCTTTTTTTCATATTCAAATGAGATATTTTTTTTATTTTGCTCCATCCAAAACCCTAGCCAAAAAGTACTCCACTATTTGGAAAGTTGGCTTATGTGCACATATTTCTTTTGATCTCTGTCTGTTTTTCTTCTTCTTTTTTCTCAAGTTGTGCTTCTGCATTATGTATTATCAAGTTGTTGTTCTTTTAATTTATATGTATTTGGAAATTTATTTTTTATTTTTTTGTAAACTATATGTTAATTTCTTAATTATGATTATTTTCTGAAATCTTCTGATATTCCTTTTTTTTTCCTGAACCTTCTTCTAATGGCTGTTTTTCATCTTCTGCAAAGTAGAGAGTAAGTGAGAAAGAGAGACAGATGCTCTTGAAATCTCTTCCAATGAATTTATTATTGTAGATTTTTGGAGTCACTAATGTAATATTCTTAGAGTTTATTATAGACACCATTCATTATTAATTTGCAAATCTCTTATCTCTTATCTATTTTATCTTTTAATTATTTCTTTAATATTTGTGTCCTAGAAAATTTTATTTATAAATTTTATTTAAAATTTGCGTTAATTTTTACAAAATAAACAAACTGACTTCTTTTTTTCTCCGTGCAATCGCACGGATAATAAACTAGTATTATTATATTATTAATTTTATCTATTATCTGGTATTAATATTTGTCAATTTTTAAAGTATTATAAATTTGTGCCATTTTAAGTGAAATTAATTTTTTGATTGTTTTTAATATTTTTCTCCTCTACAATACTTTCATTTTCTCTTTTCTTTTAATTTTGCGGATGAAAGAGAATATAAAAAATATTAAATATGTATCAAAATACTGTATTTTCACTTAAAATGACACAAACTTATATCCTTGAAAATGACAAACATTTTTGTATATTACTAAAAAGTAAAAACTATGAAGCACCGACACTTCAAAAACTCTGACGTGTCGTGTCCGACACTCCAATACTCGTTGCAAAGACTCAAAAAGGGTTCAAAGATTACGTTGCGTTGCATTTTGAATTCCAACCATTAGATTCGTTGAATTACGATTACCATTTTGTTGAGTTTAATATAAAGGTTTGTGATATCTTATATATGTTTCTTTATAAAATTGATAGGAAGTATAAGTGTAGCTATATTTTTTATTAAATTATTGAATATTAAATATAATATACACTACATAAAATAAAAATATTATATAATATCAAAATGTGTCATAACGTGTCAAAATTTAATATTTTTTAAAATAAACATGTTGTATCGTGTCGTATCCCGTGTCGGTATCGGTGCAAGATAAATTAAAAATAAACGTTTTACTATTTTTGATAAATTTTGAAAGAGTCAATTACTTGCACATGGCTTTTCAAAATTCAATTTTACATTTAATGATTAGCTAATTTGATACAAAATGAGGGACAAAGATAAATAGAACAGTACAATAGGAGTGATTGAGTCACATAATATTATTTTTGCATTATTAACTGATTGACAATTGATGCATATATAGGATTAAAAAGTTTGTGATACTCATTGATGAAATAATATAAAATTTATTTTAGTACTCTATATTACATACTATTTTGCAGGCAATAAGAATAGAATAATCAAAGGTAGAGATTAACGTTATATGATATATTCAATAACTTTTATTTTAATTGATTCCAATAAGGTAAGTTTTTAAAAATCAATCAAATCTAAAATTTCTTAAGAAATTTACAAAAAAAAAAAAAAAATTCTTAAGAAAAGGAGAATTATTTTAATGATAGTATATTACAATCCAATTATCATTAAACACTCTTAAAAGTAAAAGTAAAACTCCCTAAAATAAAGAAAATTCATTAAAAATCAATTGACAATAAATACACCTCAAATGAAGAAATAATTTTAATTAAATAGTGTCACAATTAAAGGAAAATATTATAAAAGAAAAGTTCTAATAATAATGATTACATATTACAGTCCAATCACTTTTATAAGAATTTTTTTCTAAATATAAGGATAATTCATTACAAATCAATCAATCATAAATACACCTAAAATTATAAAATTATTTAAATTAAATAAATATTAATAATTAAAGGAAAATTATATAAAAGGAAATTTGATATTTTATCAAGCTCAAAATATATAGTCAGAATTTCAACCCTTAACGTGCTTGATTTACATTAAAAATCATTTTTTTTTTTGGTAAACAAAATCATTAATATCTATGAAATCAGGTAAAAGGAAATAGTTTTTTTTTATACATAGAATAGGGATTTTTTTATCTTTGACTATATATCTCCACACAGTATTCATAAAAAAAATTATAAATATTAAAACGTATTTCATAAATTATTCATTATGCTTATATATATATATATATATAATGTTTTATACCAACTAATTAAATCGCAGGATTTGCTTAATTAAGTGGTAATATAAGTATCTGGACGGATGAATTGTCAAAAAAATGAAAAGAACATTTAGAGTTAAAATTAGATAATTACCATGCGTTGCTTAACTCGCTCACAAAGATAATTAGGGTTATCGAATAAAAAAAATAAAAAGGCAACAATCTCAACTAGAAAAACATAATATGACGATGGATGGCAATGCAATAAAGTTGATGTTGGACTGCTTTGACGATGATGTTATATTAATTTTCTTAACCAGGTTATATATAGTTCAGCGAAGAGATGTGAATGTATTTATGTGCATTAGTTGAACATCTACATTTACTAATTAATAGCTAAAGTTTGCACACATTCTTTTACCCTCATTTTATCAACTAACGTGCGATTATAAATTAGATAAAAACTAGTTTATATGATAATTGATAACCTTTTATTTCTCAATTCTCAAATGAAAATAAACTTGTATCCTATCAATCCTTACGAGATAAAAATTTTTAAGCACATATATATTTATCTAGCTATTTCCAAGATTCATACTAAACATCTTAGTTAAGGAAAATCACGCTTTTATGTAAATATATTTTCAAACGAAATTCAGAATAAACTTTTTATTTTGAAAATGACACTTTGAACATTTTTTAATTAGGTGATAAATTAATAATCCATATAAATATATGCAAATTCAATTCATTTGATAGAAGTTCATTTAATTCAATTCAATAATATTGTTATGATATCATCAAATACTTGAATTAATTGATAATGACTTATTCTACCTTAACAAGTAATTTAGAGTTTAAGGTCTAAACACGTAATTATCATAAAAACTTAGGGAGGGGTTATAGCGTTACTACCTTTTTTTTTTTTTACTACTTGTTACTACCAAATCTTAACCGTTGATTTCCGTCAATCTAACGGTTATAATTTATTAGAATTAATTAATAATTAATAAGTGTGACCCAACAAATTATAATCGTTAGATTGACGGAAATTAACGGTTAAAATTTGGTAGTAACAAGTAGTGAGAAGAAAAGATAGTAACTATAACCTTTCCCAAAAACTTAATAAGGAAAATTTGCCGCATTTTGCTTTCTCTCAATGCAACGACATAATTCTTTTTAGGTAAAAGTTTTAAAAATTCCTATAGTATTGTTTTTAATCACTTAATTCTCTATGATATTTTTCATCCACATCCATCCTTAACATTGTTATAAAATTAATTAAATATACATATTCTATCCTTTTTAGAAGAAGAAAATAACATGATAAAAAAGAAAAAAAATCAAGACCAAATGTTATGAAAGACTAAAAGAAAAAACAGTAAAAAAAGTCAAATGTGTCTAAATAAAAAAAATGTAAAAAAAATAGAGTAAGAAAAAATATAAGAAAAACAAATCATAGTTATGAATTTCCAATATATTTGCTTTTATTTTTTCTAATTTTTTGTCCTTGGTCTTTTTATTCTCTCTATTGAGATATGTTTGATATTTTTTATATATCTATTTTATTCTCTTTTTATTTTTAATTTTTTTTTACAAAAATCTTTACTAGATGGGGCAACATAATAGTAAAAAAATTAAGAAAAAAATAAAAAAAAATAGACCAAAAAAAAAACAGAGAACAAAATTAAATCTATCTAAATAAAATAGACGAAGGAAAAAATACATAAAATAAAAATAAAACTAAATATATTAGAAAATCATAACTCTGATTTTTTATTGATTTTTTATTAATTTTTTTATCTTAATTTGGACTATTTTCAATTTTTTTTTTAAAATTTTAGTCTTTTTTGTACTGTTGTGATTTTTAATATATTCGGTCTTATTTTTTCAATTTTTTTTTGAATAAATCACAAATATCCTCCATGGAAGGCAATTTTGTTCTGCGCAGGTCCAAAATTAAAGCTTTAAACCCTTATCGAAAAATGATATTGTGGAGGATCAAATGCATGCTTTTCCCACCTGCGTAGTTCTCATGCGCCAACTGAGATATCATCGTTTGATTTCTTCTATTTTCCTTTTTTTATACATTTATTTTCTTTCTTTTTTTATTTTGACACATGTGATTTTTTTTACTATTTTTTCTTTTAGTATTTTATTAAGTGTTCTAAATTTTCATAATATTTGTTTTATTTTTCTTTTTTATCACTTTATTTTTTCTTTTAAAAATGGTAAAATGTATATACTTATTAACAGTATTAAGGAGAGGTGTAGATGAAAAAATCACAAGGGGTTAAATGATTAAAAAAACCACAAAAATGTAAGTGATTCAAAACAATACCACATAATTTTTTTTTAACTTTTTCCTTCTTTTTAAAAGAAATATAGAAAAAGAGATAAAATAGAAAAATAATTACATTAATTACAATTAATAAGGCATTCAAATACTTTTAATTTTAACTTTGATGCAACGTAAAGTGTTAAATATTTTTTACTATAATTATTTTTTTTATTAAGTCTTAATTTAATCAATTTGAATATGTTACTTTTATTTAGATATATTAATAAATAATATTAAGGTATAAACTCATTAAATAATGTGTGTATATATAAGACAATTTAAAGTTTTTCTTGTAAGATATATTTATCTCTTATACATACATGAAAATGTGTAGGCTATTTTTTTTTCTCTTTTCTCCTTGTATTGCCCACATATTTTATGTGTGTATCTCCAACAATATAAGAAACTGTGAACCTGTATAAGATTTTTTTTTTTTTTTTTTTTTTGTAAAAACCCTATCTAAGATTTAATTTTGAGAAAAATATTTATGCTTTTGATGTAGATTTTTTTTCTACCACACACATAAAAGTGAGTAGATCCTAATATAAAGAGAATAAAGAGATAAAATTAGTGGAATTCATTAAAAAAAATCATTTCATGTTAAGTCCGACTAGCGAGTGTGCGAGTGTAGGGTGGAGGAAATCCTTGTACGCAGTCTTACCCTTGCATAATTGCAAAGAGGCTGTTTTCTGGATTCGAACCCATGACATTTCAGTCATAAACTAACAGTTTTGCCACTGCTCCGGTTCAGTAAGAGTGTGACAGATAAATTTTTTTATAACAAAAGCAAAAATATCAAATCCTTTAATTTTACATTAAGAAATACATTAAAATAAAATAATAAGATATTGATATGTTTCGCAAGGGAAAGTGTTTTGTCTTTTTTAAAAGGGAAAAAATGTTGGTAATTTTAAATGACATAAAGTTATGTCATTTTAAGAGAGAGATAAACACAGGATAAATTTTTTTATTTAAATTTTAAATTAAAAAAAACTACACACTTTCTTTCTCTCATGTTTTTTATTTTCTGTGTCTATATCTTTCCTAAAATGACATAACTTATGTCATTTAAAATGACAAACATCACGCACTTTTTTAAATACACAAGTTGTGTCATTTTAGCAACTTATAATTATGGATCACGGAAAGTTCATAGTTATAATATTAAAGTTGTATTTTTTTTTTCACTTTTCATGTCAACCAACAAGTTTTATAGAAAGAAAAAATGTAACTTTAATATTATAACTGTGGGTTCGCTTTTTCTGAAATTATTGCAGATAAGTTATATGCAGTAAGCTTAACACGACATTGTTTTGGAACGAAAATCATGATATTTTTGTAATTATAATTTATTTCAGAATTATTATAGTCTTTATAATTATAATTATTTAATTTTTTTAATCCTAAAATAACATCATTTTAAAAATAAATATAGATAACCGCGGTAAATGGAGAAATATTATTCAGGATAACTATCTACTAATAGATAGTTATAAACAGTTAAAATTATACTTGAGTTGTCCTGTAAATGCAAGTGTGGAACAGCATAGGAAGTCGAGAGGTGGTGGTGCAATTGCCAAACCGGCTTGTTCTGGTTGTGCTGTGATCCCTTTGGAAAAAGTAAACATCACGTGGTTCTTGTTTCCCTGAAAATTGAAATCCATACAGAGACAGAGACAGAGTCATGTCACGTTCTATGATAAGTGACTCGTTACTTGTTTTTTAGTACTTGCACATATACCTTTACCTTGGACTCATCCATAATCTCAACTTCAGTTCTCACCCACTCCGTTGACAATAAAAAACAAAATCCAACAGAAACAACACAGGCCTATAGATGTTCACAAACTCGGGCTTGTGCTGAACCACAAGAGCCGCGACAATCAAGCTTTACTTCCATAGCCCAAACCATACTCTGTAAGCCATTCCTCCACGACCCCCAATATATATATATATATATATATAAAGTAGAATCCTTTGATATCAGTGTTAAATTTTAAATTTGACACCTGATAGCCGTTAGATAAAAAAAGATCAATGACGTCACATGTTTATAAATCAGAGTCGTTGATCTTTTTTGATCTAACGGCTCTCAGATAAGTTGTCAAATTTGAAATTTAACACTAGTGTCAAATGATCCTATATATATATATATATATATATATATATATATATATATATATATATATATATCTGATATTTATCATTTTAGGAAAGAAATAGACACAGTGGTTTTTTAATTTAAATTTTAAATAAAAAAAATTATTTTGTGTCTATCTCTCTCTTAAAATGACATAACACTTTACGTTATTTAAAATGACAAATATTTTTCTCTATATATACAAAGGGATAAGTTATTCTATCTACCTTTCTCTATTATTCTCTAACACTGTTACATCAGAATTTCAAAAGGAGAGAAAAAGATAAAAGATTCTGATCTAACAGCGTTGGAGAATAATAAACAAAGATAGATAAAAAAAAATAGTAGATAGAATAACTTATCTCATATATAGATATATAATCGTAGAGGTTATTATAAAAAATAAATAAATCTTAGTAATCTGTAACGGACGGCATCTCAGATAGAATCATTTTATAAATCAAAACATCAGCGTGTGAATCTGAAATTTAATCTCAATTGACATTAATTGTAACATTTCCATTTATAAAATAATAAATAATAAATAATTAATAAAATTTATATTGTATTATATGGAAAGGGTAGAATAAAAGGTGCCAAGTGTGTACGAGAATGAATGGAGTTGAGTCGGTGTTAATGTTTTCCATTCATAGCGGTTATTGGTGGAAGTGACATTATGGTTAAGCGAGGAAAATGGGGGAAGTGAGAAAGTGAGAGGGTTTGTCTGGTTTTTATGTATAAATTGAAAAATTGAATCAAAGTGCGTGCGTGTTGTGTTGTTGGCGACTGTAATAAATTCATAAGAGCGACAACATTAGTCATTGTTCCTTTTTTTTTTTTTTTTTCTTTTCGATGGTCTCATCAACATCAACTACGATACCGATCCATCCGATTCATCCTCGGATCTGTCTCTGTTGATCCAATTGCCGTTGAAGTCAGGGATGGTTGAGTTTGAGTGAAATTAATATATATTCAATAATCGTGGTGTTGTTGTTGTTGTTGTTGTCGAGAATCGATGGCGAGGAATAGAGGAGGAGGAGGAGGAGGAGAGGGAAGGGAAAATAGAGAAAATAGAGATGATGGAATTGGAGGAGAGAAGCACTCGGGTTTGCTGAGATTGGCACAGATTCTTACATTTTTGGTTGTGTTTGCAGCAGGTGTTGTCATTGGCCTAACCACTAGTTCTCACATTAATAGGCATTTCATTTTACAACGAGACCAATACAGCACATTGGCAAACCCCATCTCTCATAATTGTACCATCACACTCACACAACCACCACCACCACCACCACAACCACAACCACCTTGTTTTGATTCTATCAATATTCAAACCTTTCTGCATCCCACCAACCTCACACATACCTTGTCCGATGATGCACTCTTCTGGAGAGCTTCCTTAGTCCCTAACAAACATGACTATCCTTATAAGAGAATACCCAAAGTCGCTTTCATGTTTCTCACTAGGGGACCATTGCCCATGTTGCCCCTCTGGGAGAGATTCTTCCATGGCCATCACAATCTCTTCAATATCTATGTCCATGCACCTCCTGGATATATTCTCAATGTTTCCGATTCTTCCCCTTTTTATAGACGCCACATCCCAAGTCAGGTATTCTCCCTTTTTTCTCATTCATATCTATATCTATCTATTTTTAATTATTTCTTTCTTGCTACTTTGCTTTGGTTACTGCAATTCTACACATGTCAAACTCATTAAAAAATTAGTATCTTTTCCATGCTGTTGTTTCACAACGTTTATGCATATTGTACGAGCATGTTTTATTAGCAGATTGAACAATCCCGTCAATCCTTAATGCATAGAACCAACATTAATTCTTGCAACGCATCATTAATATGATAAAATATATAGCTATGCTAGAAGCAAATAGGGTTGAAGGATGGACTAGGGTATAAAACTATAAATTAATACACCGAGAGGAACAAGTTGGAATAAGATATGAAGGAATTCCAATCTGGCACACTGATGTGTCTAGACTGCATCTGCGAACGATGCAGAAACTGGAAATTGACATAATCTAGGACATGTGAATTTCTCTGCTGGGATGTAAACAATGCTATTGGAATTCATGTTCAAGAAACTTTTGAGCTAACTTTAAGTTACTGAACATGGTGTCTTCAAAGTGGCAAGGAACTCTGTCTCACTATCACTTAATACATTTCAATTCATACTTACCATTTCGAAAATTGTACCTTCTGTCTTAACTTGATAAAGGATGCAACAATACAGACTTTACTTTGGATATGGATTCTTTGGCTTCTACACTTATGGGTTCCTTCTTTGAAGATTATATTGCTTGTGAAATGCTTGGCTAAAGTTCATAGATATCTATGCTTTTTTTTGTTCAAACAAACACTTGTTCCCTAGGGATAGCACTTAAGTGCTTACATGCTTAATGTCTTGCAACTATGTTGTCCAGTGGAGATAGTTAATAATGACATGTAATAAAATTCTGGAACAAAATTGGTTAGATCTTAGAAGCCGATTATTGGTGTGCAATGTGCATTCTTAGCAAGGTCTTTCAACACTTTTGAAGTAAGTTATACTTAAGTAATTAGATAAGTGAAACCCGACTTCCAACTTCCAACTTCAAGTAAATAGCAGTATTGAGAGAAGTAACAGCTTCAGAGGACGAGAGACATGTGTTGCAATAATCATCTGCTGCAGGAGGGAAGAAGAATAATAAGGTGCACTGATGGATTCTTATCCACAAAATATGAGGTTATGGCTTCAAATACATGTTTCTGGCATAAGATGATGAGATATAGAAGTAGGTTCTTTGATCTGTGAATTTTGAACAATTTGTGGAGGGGAAACTTTAAAGGGTTCAGATTTTCTTAAGATATGTCAAATGGCAGTGATAATTCCCTAAAATTTATAATCAATCACATTCATTATTTAAAAATTATAAGCAGAGTTTCTCATCTAACCACGTTGATATTTTGTTTTCTAGATTGATGTGATGTACATATGTTTAATGATGTAGTTGGAGTAGACACTCGTAACAAGCATCTTCATCTACCTATTTCTTTCATTTACTTAAATGATAAACTACACACTGATGTTGTTTGTCAAGGACTGGTGCTCATCAAGTTTAAAGAAGTCTATACCTCCTTATATACATATTCTTTCTTTCTATCTTAAGAGTGCCATTGTCATCTATGAAAATAGAGAGTATTCCCTCCCCAGTGTATTATAAGCAATCTAGCATTTCTTTTAAAACTGTAGCCAAATTTATTTTTCTGAATTCTGATAGATTCTTATGATTTGTGTTTTACATGTCTTGTTCAGGTTGTTTCATGGGGGACAGTTACATTGGCTGGTGCTGAAAGGCGCCTTTTAGCCAACGCACTGCTGGACTTTTCAAATGAGCGGTTTGTTCTCCTTTCAGAGAGTTGCATCCCAGTCTACGACTTCTCTACAGTTTACAGATATCTCACTGATTCTACCCACAGCTTTGTAGAGTCATATGATGACCCTTCCCGTTATGGGCGTGGTCGCTACAGCCGCAATATGCTTCCTTATATTAAGCTGAAACACTGGCGTAAAGGGTCTCAGTGGTTTGAACTTAACCGTGCTCTGGCTGTTGATATAGTCTCTGACACCCAATACTTTACCCTCTTTCGTAAATACTGTAAGCCTGCTTGCTACCCTGATGAACATTACATTCCAACCTTCCTGAATATGTTCCATGGTTCACTTAATTCAAACAGAACAGTGACATGGGTTGATTGGTCAATGCTGGGTCCTCATCCAGCAACCTATGGGGGAGACAACATAACAGTGGGTTTTCTACAAGCTATAAGGAACAATGGAACCCTTTGTCGATATAATTCAGACATGACATCCGTTTGTTACCTATTTGCTCGCAAGTTTGATCAGAGTGCACTGGAGCCTTTACTTAACCTTTCTTCCGAAGTGATGAACTTTTGAATTTTTTCCTTTTTTTATTGTATAAGAGACAAGATATGTAACTTATTTTTTGGGCTCTAGATTTTAGTAGAGAATTTAACAACTTCAACACTAAATCAGTATGTATTGGTATAGCTGTACAGGTATTGTTAGAATTTTGTATTCTCTGCTAGAGAATAGCATATTGTTGCAGAAACTGCATTTCATTCCTTCGAAGAAGGAATCCATCAATACAGAAATTTCATTACCAATGAGTCTCAATTCCTTGGGGTTCATGTTAACAGAAGACACAAACTTTTCCTAAATCTTCCGCTTTCAGTACAGGCAGCGTACAGATACAGTTACGTGCTCTCAAATAGATTCTTTCAATATCTAATGGCTAAACAATATTAAAAATGTCATTTAACTACAAACATTTATGAGCCAATGATTTTGTTAGTAAATTTGTTTTCAAGTTTGGCTAATTTTTTTCTTAATAAATACAAACACTTTATATAAATTTTTCTGATAAAAGATCTGTTCTAATATAAGGATTTTATTGATTTGGACTGGTAAAGCTATTCTGGACATGCCTTCAACAGCTAGGTTGATGTCAGATATTAGCCACTAAGATCGATCGGTAGCCTGCTTGTTTGGATTGGGGATCTATAGCCATACCTCTGCGGTGTGGCATTCCTAAGTTGCCAGCAAATACATTCTTTAATATAGTTTTTTATTTGGTCGTTACTCTTAAGCTACTTGGAGAGCTGAGGATTTGTGGAGGCCTGAGCAATGATGAGATACTTGACAATGATCAGCCTTTAATCATCAATAGAATCTTGCTCAATCAGTGTTTTTTATTATCACTGTCTCACGTATTCTAGCACTCGCTTTAAAGCTAGTATAAAACTAGAGCATTATGAAGTCTTAGCAAACCTTTTTCATTCTACTAAACATTTGTAACCATACAAGCAACAAAACTCGTTCTATAATTGACGGACCTTCAGAGAATTCCATTCAGATTATTGTTTGGAAGATCTGCAAGACAATGAGCAAGGGACTTGCACACATTGTATACCACCCAATAACTCAGAGAATGGATTCTTAATGGGTAAAGAAAGAAACCACTTAATTTGCATAATCAATCTTTGTAGCTGAAAAAACAACTCTTTTAAAAAACAAACTAGGAAGATGAATTTAGATGTCAACTTGCGAGTTAATTGTGATGTGCTTTAAAAGACAATAGAAGAAGCTTTTTCAGACAGTGAAAATTGGTTCAGTTCTATACTTGAATGTTCCAAGGTTTCAGCTAGCAAATAACTGCCCTGCGGTGTCTCTAACTAGAGGGTGAGATAAGACTTTCAAAATCGAGTTATGAAGTAAATTTTCTTAACCATGCAACGGTCAAACTTCGACTTTCTCTTTATCTCGTCAAGTTCACAGAAAAACAAGCTGGCACTGCAGTTTACCCAAATAGTAATGTCTGCATTGCCTCCGTCCAAAGTTTGGAATCAAATTATAACATTGGGTTCGCTTTTTCTGCAGATAAATTATCTGCAATAAGTCCAATATGATGTCGTTTTGGACGAAAATCATAGTATTTTTATAATTTTAATTTATTTCAGGATTATAATAGTCTTCATATTTATGATTTTTTAAAATTTCAATATCAAAACGTCGTTTTGGAAATAAATGCAGATAACTTAGAAAAATATTTTCCCCTATAACATTTGTGGCTGATTAAACACAGGCGCTGTAGATGAGCTTGTTTGCGAAGAAAATTGTCATTGTTTCTATCCAAGGTGTCTATGATCAAAGCAACGAGAGCGAAGTCGGCAGAGAAGAGAGGCAGGCCACAGGATATTTAAGATTCTACCATGTTCGATGTGATTTCAAATTCTTACGAAAATAATAGATTACAATGCTGATCATTTTAAAATTCTTGCATTGAAGTATCCAAACAAGATGTTTTATCATAAAGACACTCCAATTCTCTTAAAAATACATTACCTCCTTCAAATCCTTTGTGCAAGAACAGCCCAAAATTAATATCCAGTGCATTATCGAAATATAGACTATTAAAGGCAAAAACCTTAACCTTTGTTTCAGGTAAAATTTGGAAGATTATCAATGACAGTACAGAATATAAATATCTATGCCAGATATTAAAGGTTGAGTTACAAGAATGAATTAAAATGACATGTCGTATAAGACATGCATTACATGTTATGGACCAGTAAATCAAAATAGATTCTTGTATCATCATCTATAAACTCACAAACATCTAGCGATTCTGAACACCAGAAATCAGCATCATAAAACACTTAACATGAAAATGATAGAGTATCTGCTCTCTCAATTTAAAAGAGAACCAGTAGCACTAAGAACTGGCTTGAACTCCAAAAATCAAGCCGCTACCTGTTCAGGGACTTCTGATTGCTGTTGATGTGATTCATCAAAGTGAGAAGGGGTTCCTGATGATGGGTTATAAGGTCCTGTCATCTGAGAAGATGATCCTGGGGCAATATAGCATGGCGACGTCATTTGAGCAGATGCTCCATGTGATGGAAAAGATGACCCTGCCATTGGAGTTGTTCCTGCCGATGGATATGGTTGATCTGCCATTTGTTGGGGCCCACGTGGTGTTCCGTAAGGTTGATGTCCTGCCATTTGAGGTGAAGCTCCAGATGGTGTATAATGTTGTGCTGTCATTTGAGGGGCTACCCTTTGCGTATGAGGAGGAAGTTCAGATGGAGGGTGGTAAGGCTGTCCTGACGTATGAGGAGAAGGTCCAGCTGCATAAGAACGAGGCCCAATCACTGAAGGCGATACTCCCCATGAAGGTTGTCCTGACATATGAGGTGAAGGTTCAGCTGCAGAAGTGCGAGGCCCAGTCACTGGAGGAGATACTCCCCATGAAGGTTGATGCATTCCAGTCATTTGAGAGGGCAGTGGTGGGCGCTGCTGCCCTGATACTTGAGCTGGAGGCCCAGAAGGTGGATTATGCACTCCTGCCATTTTAGCATAAGGCGGTGGTGGGCGATGCTGTCCTGCCATTTGTGGTGGAAGGCCAGAAGGAGGGTTATGCGCTCCTGCCATTTGAGAAGGAGACCTCACCGGTGGAGGACCGTATGCAGGTCTAGGGGCTGATGGACGAGGACTGTATCCAAATCTGTTCATGTCTAGCAGTCTCTCAATCTCCTCACCCCTCCCAGCATTCTTAAAAGCCTCAATCACCAATTCCCGCAAGGCAGAAGTGACCCCAACACCATACCTCATAACTTGATCGAGCATCTCTTGGCTTTTATCCAACAAACCGTCACCACAGAGTCCCTTGATTACAACCTCGTAGCAAGTAGGGTCTGGTTTGGGATCTTTTTCTCCCATTTTACTCAAAATTTGTGCACAATCAATAGCTTTACCATTCTTAATCAATTCATCAAACACCCTGTTACCAAAGCTAGCAACCACCCTCAGTCCAGCATCCACCATTCTGTTGAATACCCTCAAAGCATCATCGATCCTCTCCATTTTCAAGTAGGCATCAATCAAAGTCCTATGAGTTGGCACATCCGGGCTCAAAGATTTTGAGCACAGTTCTTCGAATAGTGTTTCTGCTTCGGATAGCATCCCATTCTCACAAAACCTAGAAATGATATTATTGTAGCCAGCAACATCCATTGCAAAAGGCTTAGAATTTGGCTTAGTTCCGGCCTTCTTAAAAGTTGCAAGTGCTTCTGCGAACTTGCCAAGCTTAAAGCACTCATTGACCATTATATTGAATGTATCAGAGTTTACAGCTTGAAAATTGGGAGGGGTGTGGTTATCTAACATCTGATCAAATAAAGCCCAAGCCCGTTCTTCCTTGCCATGGTTAAGCAAGACCTCCAACAAGACATTGCAAGTAGCAGGGGTCATCCTAAACTGCCTGTCCATGAGGGACTTGTAGGAGTCCATGGCTTCCTTATCTCTGCCCTTATTAAAGAACCATTCCATATAAGTAGCATTGACAACCCCATCATAAACCAAACAACGCTCCTTGAGCTCATCAAAGAGCTCATTGGCCTTGTCCAAATTCTCCAAGTTAAGAAAACCGGAAATGAGATTATTATAAACCAAGGAATCAGCACCGTGGCCTTTACTCAACATCTCACGCAAGAGGTCAACGGCCTCATCAATGCGACCGGATTGTATCAAACCTTTGGTAAGATGGCGATATGTAACAGGGGATGGACTGAAAGGCGCATTGGCAACGACGTGGCGATAAACCTCAAGAGCCACATCAACACGACCCTCATCGCAATGTGCATTAATCACGTTATTGTAAGATACAATATTGGGAACAATGTTGGATTGGTTGAAGAAGAAGTGGAAGAGAGCAATTGCCTCGTTATACCTCTTTGCGCGGTACATGGCGGCGATGATGGCGTTGCACGTGAACACCGTGGGTCGAGTCGAAGAGAACACCGAGTGGCGGGCGATGGCGGAGGCCGCATCGAGGTCGCCGGCACGGATGAGGGATTGGACGCGGTTGTGGAGGCTCAGGCGAGGTCCCACCAACGACGAAGTGGAGTCCGGAAGGCGAGGAGCGTTGGGGTCACGCGAAGGAGCCTGGTGCGGTGGAGGCCGAATCGCGTTCAGAGGAGGCTCGATACGGAGTCGGCGCTTGCGGCGGCGACGCTCGGCGGCGGCTTCTTCTGCTGAGGAAAAGGCGAAGGAACGGCTTTGAGAGAAGATAGTAACAGAGATGGGTTGGACGGTGGAGGAACGACGGAGGGAGCGGAGGAGTAAGCGGCAAAGTGACATTTTGAGATCAGATGAGACGAACAAGGAACAAAGAACAAAGCCCTTAATCTTAAACCCTAACCAGTTACCACTTGACTCTCACTTTGTCTGCAATGCATCGTGGTTGTGACACTGTTCCAAGTCTATTTTAACAAAAGAGTAAACACTATTTTTAGTCCCGGCAATATCTACGAAGTCCTTTTCAGTACCGGCAATAAAAAAGGACCAAATTGGTCCCTGAAAGTACAAGAAAAGGGTCACTCTACATATTTGGGAGTTGACATAAGGACTAACATGACCCTTTTTTGTAATTTCAGGAACCAATTTGGTCCTTTTTTATTGTCAGGGACTAAAAAAGACTTCGTAGATATTGACAGGGATTAAAAAAGGTGTTTACTCTTAACAAAATGTCACGTCCACGCACTTTTTCCCCAAACTGCCACCAAAGCAAGTTTGTTGGGAGTTGTAGCGAACTAGGTAAGGTGATGTGTCAGCAGCCTGATGGATTCCAAGGTTGTTGCTGGCAGAGGCGAAATTCAGTGCAATTAATGCCTCACCTGTCAGGCCACGTGGCTTACATGCATGGGAGGTCGCTGGTCACATTAGCGACTAGCTTGTCACGTGGCTGACATACACCAAGTTCGCTGGGAGCAACGAACTTGGAGTAACGGCTACTCTTCTCAGCCTTATATAAACCCCCCTCCCCATCCGATGAAAAATAGGTTAGAAAATTTTGACATTGGCATGTATGATAATCGTATTAGCTGTAGTAATTTATATTAATGTATTATTTAATAATAGCTTTTTGTTTAATATTATTGATAGGGTTGAATTGTAGGTTAGAAAATATATATTCTAATGGTTTTAGATTTTGTATTTAATAAATTATTGATCATGCAATAATTAATATATTTGAATTAATTAACATTATTTAGTTATAAGATTGAAAAATAGGTTAGAAACATTTTGAAAATAATGTATGTATTTATTTATTTATTAGTAATTAGTATTTATTTTTAGATATTATATAATTTTTGTATAATATAATATATATCTTTGTATGCAAGTATTTATTTTGTAAATATAATGTAATTTAAAAATAATATTTTATATTAAATAACAATATTTATTTATTTATTTCTTAGTAATTAGTATTTAATTTTTATTTATTAGTTAATTTTTGTATAACATCATATATTATTGTATTTTATAATTTAATATATTATATAATTTTTGTATTACACAATTAATCTTGTTAAATTATTGTATTTTATAATTTTTATTATGCAATTGTTGTTACTAATGCATCAAATAACATTATTTTGTTATAGGTTTGAACAAATCATTGTAGAATTTTCTTTGTGTTATATTATTTAATGATTAGGCATTATTACCCAAATTTTAGTATGTCATTACTAGTGTTATTAATTGTTGTAAGTATATTAATGTGGTTATTATTTATTATTTAGTATGTAATATTCAATTATATATGAATTATAGAATAATTAAATAATGTTGAATATTTATTCATTTCTTAGTAATTATTTATTTATTTTTTGTAAATAGATCCATGGAGCAGCAGGACCCGCACATGACTTTCATTGACCCTGGTCCATCCTCGCGTTCTCTCCTGACGTTGCAGGACAAACACATCTCCACGCATGTGTGGAACGCATCAAATGAAGCAAATGCACGTGATCGTGTCCTCAATGTCAGACACGCTGCGTCACACGATCATTTGGATATACCCGAGGATATCCACTCTTACCTTAGGCAGGCAGGGTTTTATCACGTTGCACGTCTGCGCAACCATAAGGTTAGTGATACGCTCACTTTATAATAGGTGAAATTACATTTTGTATGTTTAATAAATTGTGAAAGATTGTAATTTTAATTTTTTTTGTCAGATTGATCACTCACTCATCTCGACCCTTGTTGAGAGATGGCGGCCTGAGACGCGCACATTCCATATGCCGATGGGTGAGGTTACGATTACCCTAGAGGATGTCCACCATCTGTTGGGATTGCCCACAGATGAAGAGGTTGTATGTGGCCGCGTTGGAGGCCATCCCTTCTCGCAGCTGGTTAGAGATTTCTTGGCGTACAGCCGGAGCGAGCGCGCGACTTGTATAAGAACCAAATTTCGCTGACATTTCTGAGGGAACAGTTTCTGCATTACGATCAACATGCTGGCACTGAAGTTGATCGTATGAGATACACACGTGCTTTGATCTTGCGCATACTGGGTGGTTGCTTGTTCGTTGAGGCTGCATCAAGCTTTGTACATGCGCGGTATCTACTATTTCTGGATGATTTTCAGCGGACGGGGACGTATTCTTGGGGTTCCGTTGTACTGGCTACCTTGTACAGGGAGTTGTGCAAGGTTACTGAGCCAGGACAATCTGATATGGGGGGATGTGCTCTGTTACTACAGTTGTGGGCATGGGCCCGTTTCCCTACTATCTCACCAGCACTCCCTGAGATCACTGACGCGCAGGCTATTTTTGGGGCCAGGTCTTTGCCTTTTGTGTTTTTTGTTTTCTTGTTGTCAATATACACAATTGTGGGCTAACTTCATTTTTTGTGTCTATTACGTATATTAACGTAATTTTATTTTTCTTATTGTTTTGTAGATTTAATATCTATACGTCACGCCGGTTTCGGTTCTCCCACATCAGACGCTATCGTCATCACATTGACGTTATGCCCATCCGCAGTATACGGTGGAGGTCATACGATGGATTCGCTGCACATCAGCCGTCGTCCGAGGAGGCGCGCAGATGGTTAGCTGTATGCCCACTCATACACTATCAGATCATTGTGTACCAGCAGCCCGATAGAGTGCTGCGGCAATTTCATTATAGGCAGCCGATACCGAGCGATCCATTCAATGTTCGGAGCTGCTTACTATCACCCTGACTGGTAAGGGTGACGTAGACTGGAGGGACCGACATGGACTGTATATAGCGCAGTGGCATTCCAGGGATGCCCTCGTTGTTCAGGGTTTACAGCCAGACGAGGGAGATGGACATCTTTCTATCAACAGCACGTACATCCATTGGTATTTTGAGCATATGCGTAGATGGATGATGCAGAGATCGGCCATTCATTGTCATGTGGTATGTAAATTTTCGACGTTTCATTACAGTTTTGAGAACTATTTAATAATCATAATGACATCACAAATTTAACATTTTTCCGCAATACAGAGTGATTGCATTGAGACTGTTGTTCATATAGCTTCGGACGAATCGCAGGGAGCATTCACTTACCGCCAGATATACGACGAGGCCCTTCAGGCTATGTTTGCATTCGCAGAGTTTAGTAGACTGACAGAACCTGGAGAACTCGTCCCTCCGTCGGCAGTTGTGCAGACAATGGAGCCTCCTCGTCCCGAGCGTCGTAGCCAGCGTGCACGCCACGAGGGATTGCCACTACATCATCAGACTCCTGCAGTGGCTGATCGGCCTGTGCTTGTGCAGTCTCTTCCACCGCGTCCTGTCGGGCAGTTTTATGCACTAGCTTACCCTTCAAGTGGCCCGTCGCAGCCTATCCCGCCCACAGGCGGTCCTGGGAAACCTAGTGTCCCATCGTCGCAGTACGGGTACCCTTGGTTTTCAGCACCGTCGCAGCCGTACCCTGCATATCAGCATCATTTCAGCCCCTCGTTCCCAGGTCATTATTGACGGCCGTTAATATACCGGCATGTCGATCAGAAACAAGACATATCCCCTCTTTCTGAGTCACATGGATTCGTAACATCGCCAAAAACCAGGACCAGTTGTCAATATTCTCACAATTAACAACAACAAATGCAACAAGGAGGACGTAATTGTTACCGTCAATGGCTGTAGCAATCAATAGCGTTCCGCGGTATTTCCCATACAAATGTGTCCCATCGATCTGGAGCATAGGCTTACAATAATTAAATGCATCACAACACTGTTTAAAAGTCCAAAAAACCCTTTTAAATACCTTGTGCGAGCCATCGAGGCGACCATCGATCCTATGTTCATTCACGTTCAGTTTATAAACAGACCCTGGAGAAAACAATAACATATAATCCAACTATCTCGGCAGGAATGCGTACGGCTCATCCCAATCCCCAAAAACCCTCATAACTACCTTCTGCTTTGCTTTCCAGGACTTTCTGTATGATATATGAAATCCTAGACACGATGCAATCCTTTCCTAGATTAAGCCAATCTTTACGCTAGGCTCTTCACGCACCATTTCTGCGGTGTGAGAAACAACACCATATTAGTGTTACGAAAACGGTAATTATTGAAACATAGAGAGTCTGGTTGACTTACCGATGATCAATGAACAAATGAAACTAGAGTTAAGTTGTTTGTGATCATGTGAAAGTGTTTGACTAACACATGTATGGATGTTGTTCCATATGCCTATTATCCATTCATGACCACCTTTTTTAAGATATGCTCGCATTCTCCATGGACAACCGTCATTGTGATTTTGACAAATCATTATTAGCCTTTTTGTATCACTTTTTAGCACGACAGTTGTGCTATTCTTTGCCATACAGTATTGTTTGATGGCCATTTGCACATCCTGTTTGCTTTCAAACTGTTGGTCCTTATAGAGTTCTTGACCTATTTGCCAATTTGGTACTTGTGCCCCATGCATGTCATCAATTTCTTGATCGGGGTGGGCCCAGTTAATGTTCGTGTAAAGTGGTATTTTCGCCCAAAATGGTACACTATCCTCCCCTGGTTGGCACAACTTCAAATTTAATTACTAATACCATTTCAAAAAACAAATTAAAAACAACGGTAAATAACCTTACCTGGAGCAGGTGGTGGGTCATGCGTACCAACAATTCCCGGTGATGGAATCGGTTCAAACAATGCAGTAGACAACTCCATTTTGAAATCACCATCAACGTCTGTATCCGATGAATCACTGTCAGGGACAAGACCTTCATCAACATCCTTCTCGGAACTCTCAGTACGCCATGACGGATCATACATGTCATTAGCAGGAATCATATCTAAAGGCATTGTTAGTGGGGGTGATGGGGGTCGGGGTGAGACATGCTGTTGTGCAAAATGTAAACAAATTTAAATCTTCCACACAAATACGCAAGTGCACGTGTCACAAGTAATAAAGGTATGTGTGAGTCCAAGTATCGTTCCCACGGAGATAAGTGTCAAGTAATGATTATTTAGGTGAAGAAAGTGAGTAAAGTGATTGATTATGATTGTTGGTTTTGTAAAATAAAAGACAACTAATAACAAGAAAACAAGAAACTAAAATAATAGGTATTAAGATGATGGATGAGATATAGGTCAGGATCAATTTCCCTGATACTGCAATACTGATCTGATGCTTTAACAATGCTATATCGATGTTTAACTAGTAACCAAACATTAATGTATGCTGAGACTTTTGGCCAACCTAACATATATACCCAATAACTAATTCCCACATCTCTATGGCCAAACTAATCACTGAATTGTTAAGTTCAAGTTCTAGGTTATGTGGTGTGAATGATCTCTCTACCCACAACTTAATTAAGTTAATTTAACTCGATTAATCCACACTATTCAACAAGGGTCTGGATTCGGAAACCTCTCGGCCCCAACCTCCTCAATATCACATATGTATCTCTCGACATGCACACATGAATAAGATTAAGCAAACTCGTTGAATAACTTATTAAACATTAACATAAACAAAGTTTAGGCATACATCTCAATGTTACAGCATAGGTACTTTATCACCTAACCTATGGAGAAATTTAGCTCATAATGAAATTAAATAAAACAGAGAAAAGAAAGAAAGAATTCATTGGAAAACAGAAAAGAAGTTAAAAACAATTGCTGCAGGAAGACGTCGCCACTGCCTTGCTCCAGCACTGCTCTTCCTCTTCCAAGAACCTCACTATCTCCCTCTAAAACTCTCCTCCTTGCTTCTGACCTTCTGAACCTTGAACCTCTCTAACTGTGTTTCGAACTGTTTTTCTCTCGTGGAGGAGCTCTTCTTAAATAGGAAAAAATGGTTGGGCTTTGGGCTTTAGGAGTTAAGAGTGGAGATTCATGAATCTGGTTGCTGCAGCGTTATCTTATCCCTAAATTCTTGGGCTGTTGACACTTGATTGGATAAGATCTTAATCTTCTTGATTTTCTTGTGCCAATATTGTTGTTGGCCGAACAAGAGTTTGTTGTCCTTGTTCTTTGGGATTTTGGGATAAGACTCAATCTTTGAAATCGTCCTTGATCCTTGGGATTTTCGGATTTGTTGGCACTTAATTGGATAAGATCTTTATCTTCTTGGATTTCTTGTGCCAATGTTGTTGACCGAATCAAGGTTGTTGTCCTTGTTCTTTGGGAATTGGATAAGATTCAATCTTTGAATTTGTCTTTGACCCTTGTGATTTTCTGAACTAAATCTCCAGAAACTTCCCTTGCTTGCTGGTGTATTGTTGAAGAATAACTAACTTTTGAAATTCAAAAGTTCGGTTGTCCCTTTGTCCACGCTGTCATGCTGTAGCGCTTGCTATATCATTACTTCGTCAACTTCTCTGCTACAGCATTCCTACGTCAATTTTCCCTGCGAAGACAAACATTCAACAAGTCATCTTTTCTTACGCAAAATCAAGGGATATTGTCTTATTTTCCATACTTAGTCATCTCAAAGCACTTAATCATAAATATACAATAATTAGCTCAATTATCATGCAAAACGGTTAACTTATATGGAATTTATGCAACAAATTCATCATAAAAATAACAAATTAACTCTCATTTGGGAGAGTTATCACATGCATATCATCCGGAGTTACTTGCGGCTCCCTGTTAATGTCTATGGAGTAACTGGTAGGGACGAAACTTTGAGTACTTGCCTCTCCACCGGTGTTTAGTTCCGCAAACAACTCGATGTATGAGGACTCCTTTCCGTGCTGTCGAAATGCATCAACTACTAATGACACATCTTCATCCTCTACCACCTCCACAGCAACCCATTGCACCGGGTTACCAGAAGCGCATCTAGCAATCAGTCGAGACAGGGATTGACCTCGTTGTAATCTCAACTTCTTGTATATTATTTTCTTCAGCTCAGTATATTTGCAACGTGGACTCATGCGGAAGATCTTCGTATCTCCTTCAAACACTTGACCGTTCGGTCCAAAATATCTTCTCCCATTGTAATATAGAAGGCATATTACATCATTGTTACTCTCACTCATTATGTAATGAAATAGCAAAAAGTAACAAACAAAAATGGAAACTTTAAGGAAAACAGACGAGAATGACTTTGGGAGAGTGGGAGAGGGGTGTATAAATAGCACTGAGTTCGCTACCTAGGGCAGCGAACTGTAACTGTCGGCAAGTAGTTCGCTTACCTAGACAGCGAACTTCTAGGGGACTGCCACGTGGCACACAATTCGCTGTAGGGGCCATCGAACTGTGTCAGTGGCTGCCACTTGTCAACTAGTTCGCTGTCCATGTAAGCGAACTGTGTGCCAATTGACACATGGCGAGGAGTTCGCCTGTACTCCCAACGAGCTGTGTTGGGGTCAGACACGTGGCAAAAGAAGTCCGCCTTGTCTGTCAGCGAACTCTTCATACGTGTCAGCATTTATTGCACCCAAGTTCGCCTGTGTCAGTAGCGAACTTGAGCACCATCAGGCTGCTGACACATCACCTTACCTAGTTCGCTACTGCTCCCAGCAAACTTGCCTGTGTGGCAGTTTGGAAAAAAAGTGCGTGGGTGTGGCATTTTGGTAAAAAAGACTTGGAACAGTGGCACAATGGTCACTGTTCCATGCATCGTCACATCGGAGAATATATATATGGTTTTTATTAGTCTCATTTAACATAAGATAACTAACATGTAGTTATCTTATGTTGTAGAGAGAAAATAGGTGGGTCCCAACATTACAAGAAAAAAGAAAAAAAAAGTGGGGTACGGAAATCGAAGTTAGAGAAAATAAGAGGTGTTATCTCATGTGAAAGGTGAGTAATATTTCCCTATATATATATATATATATATATATATATATATATAAAGGAAGGCATGAGTGCAGTAAATCAAAATTACTATTGATATATGTTATTTCTTATATAATTCTAAATTTCATAGTTACTATCTTCTTTTTTTTTTGATTTGATTTCTTTATTTGTTACTATCTTTACAATTATTAGAGATTACAGACGTGGATAATTTGTATGAAGTTATAGGTTTACACTATTATAGAGAGAGAGAGAGAAATTGTGAGGTTAAATGTACAAATACATTATGTCCAAATTAAAATTTAAGAATAAAAAAACATTTATATTGACTAAGATTCTTAATTCATACAAATATGAAAACAATACTCATATTATCTTACAATTTTAATTCTTGTTTTATGTATTTATATATGGTTTTTCTTTATATTTTAACTATTACCAAAAAAAATTCCTTAAAAAATAAAAAATAAAAGCATACTATCAATCACTGGAGAAATTTTATAAAATGATAGACATTGTTGTATAATATGTGAACAATAAGAAACAACAATAACTACCCAACATTTTTAAAATAAAAGAAGTCACCTGCAAAACTAATTCTTCAGGGAAGTCATTTAATTCTAATTTTTTAAAAATAATTTCACTTAAAACTCTTTTTTAGTCTACTTTTATCCTTGATTTTTAGATTATTATTCATCTATTAAACTCTTCTAACTAGGGCTTTTATTAATTTCCTTTTGATGTATGTCCAAATTATTTGAAGCGCAGTTTTATCATCTTTTTCCCTATAAATGATTTTAGCCATGTGTATCCAAGTTATAGTCAACAATGATCAATGCAATAATTTCATTTGTGTAACAGCTCATTTGCACAACGTACACATTTGAATGGCTTTTCCACTTATGTTACTAAATATATGAGAAGAATGTAAACTTTGTACAAATAGTTTTCTTTTATTGCAAAATCTTAAAGCAGATAGGACATCAGAGCTGAGCAAGTAAAAGTAAAAAATTGAATATGATTACTTCCTGTGTGAAGGATACTTATGGTTTATCTAAAAAAAAGACTTGAAGCAATTATTCACTACCTGCGAACCCTATTTTTATTATGCTCGGGTGCAGCCACTATTCATGAGGCACAAAAACACATTCAGGAAAACTTATGTTGAAATGAAAAGTTTTATCCTAAAGTAGCAAGATATACAGAGAATAAGATGTCCAGCTAACTGGAGCCGAAAAATAACATTTCCAGACTGTTCAGCCATGTAACCTATTTACATTGTCATTCACTGGGAAAAAATCTATGATCCCACATTTTTCTGTTGTCATATGAACAAACACCTCTATACCACACCCTATGTACACCAATATTCTAGAGAATGAATGGCTTAATCATAAAACGAAGGTAGAAGAGTTCCTTCAATGATCGCAAAGGAGCAATGTTCCCGTAAACTCTCTGAGACCCCACACCTGAGATATCAAATCACAAGCTCCAACCAAGACTGGATACCAAGCATACGTTTTATTCACCAAAATCTGAGTCACGGGACTTGCATCAATTTAAAACGTTGACTATGAACATGAACACTGCACTTGGATTTTGATCAACTAAAGTCTCACAAAGTAGACTAATGGCTAGTCTGGTTTGCCTGTTGTTCATATGGATCAATCCAACACTTGTCCTTCTTTGCCGCATCTTTCCATCTTTTCCCAAAAACCTGCATGTCAACGTATGACTGCATCCTAACCTGCATGTAGTAGTAGATTGATTTGTTAAATAATGGAATTGGAGTTAAAGTTGTATAAATCTACCTTCTTCTCATAAACATACTTACTTTAACTCTAGCATTATCTTTATACGAATTTGATAGCGCCTGCAACCCAAAGGACAAGCTCTTAGTAATAATTTACATTGCCAATCAAACCACAAATAAATTTACCTGCATGAGAACACAAATGAGATTTAATTCAAACATTTAAAGTTGATATGTTGTCAACCTGAACTAAAAGGAAGTGAATACTGCAAGCATAACATATCTTCAACACAGTGAACTTTATTAAAAAATGTGTTTGAATTTCATAAAGAACTGTGCTGATTGTTATCCTTAAGTTACACATATTAAAGAAATCACTTGCCTCGTTGCCGTTTGAGCCCCCAAGAGTAGGCAGACCCAGATGAACTATGTACTCAGAATCAACCACACCAACATTTCTCATTCGATCGCCCTGAAATATTGGAGAGAGATGAATAACAACCACACTGGAAGGTTTTAGTATGAAATGAATATGCTGTTGTGGTGCAAGTTACCTGTGCACAATAACCAAGTTGCCTATCCAGGCCCCAGGCATGGATTAAGTCATTCTGTAGACAGAAAGATGATCAGATGAAAATGGCATAAAAAAAGAAGCCATCAAGAATTGTAAGATTGAACAAGCCCTACTGAACAAAATAGCAGTAGCTCACCAATCACATACGAAAATAAAATTGCATCACACCCTATAGTTGAATATATACAAGAAATATATGAACAATATATACATTCTTCTCTGCAACTGTGTAATCATTTTCCTATCAATCAGCTGAGAGCAATATCAAACAAATTATGAACACAAATCTCAGGTCCAGATCATTCCCAGAAGACGAGGCAGAAAGAAGAAGGTGCAAAAGAAATTAGAACCTTAACAGCCACAAACCAAGCATAAAAAGTTTTAGCTTTGAAAAAATTGTTCATTTAAACTGATCTACTGCAGACTACAGTTTCTCCTAAAGTACATAATTTTAATGCTGCTACCTGAGTGACTTGGTCAGGTGTAATCCCAGACGACAAAACCATAAAAAGTTGGAAATTTTCAAAAATATTGTAAAAAACCAATTCAACCCAAAAGCTTAAGCTGGTGGGTGAGAGCTTTTTAATGATATATATTATTCTCGAACACGCCCCTTCACACGAGAGCCCACTAGGCTTGAAAGGTGGACAATGCACAAGCCTACCTACATGTACTAAGAAAATTCCACAAGAGAAAGTGGGGGGCAGTGAGGATCGAACTCGGGACACGAAGCTCTGATACCATGTAAAGAATCAATTTAATCCAAAAACTTAAGCTGGTGGGTGAGGCCTTTTAATGATATATATTATTCTCTAACAAATATAAAATTCAAATTTTAAAAAATTATAGTAAAACCTTGATATCATGTCATATAATGTTCTCGACCAAAATTCGTTTATCACAATTTTCACAGTATGGTTCAGTACCAAGTTAAAATGGTTTTTCCATACCTGGATCAAATGCCATACACATTGCCAAGATTTTTTAGAAAACACTGGTGCCATCATTTCTACCCAACTGCAAAACAAGCTCATTCTTATTAAATTACAAAACCTATTTAATAGCACAAATGATCAGAATGAAATAAAAAACAAAGAGAAAACAGGATACAGACTGTGCAACTGTTTACCCTATGCAAGGAGGACCAGTGCTATTGTCATCACACCTTCCGCTACCTTTAGACTTATAATACCTTCTGTATAGAGATAATACCAAAGGCGATATTAGCAATTGTTTGAAAAAGACAAATTATTACAAAATATCCAGTGTAGCACATAGGCACAGTGACACAACCTCAGGAGACAAATTATTTAAGGGAATTGTAAATAATTTGAATGTATGATAGAAAAACTAATTGCAGGTGTTCACGCAACTAAATATGCACAATTTTGGTACATAAACATTGACAACATAAATAATAAGGGTAATCTTGGTGCAGTAAGTTTTTCCACACTTGCACACTTTGCAGAGATGCTACGTGTGCCTGTGTGTGAGTGTGCACATATCTTTTGAAATATAACCTGCAGAATAACAAGGAACTATGTAATATTCTAGTTCATTAATAGAGTATCACGTTGGTTATATTGTAATAATTGCTGGTGTGTACCCAACAAAACATAGGCAACTTTGGTCCATATATATTGACAACATGTAAAGAATCAATTCAATCCAAAAGCTTAAGCTGGTGAGTGAGGGTTTTTTAATGATTCATACTGGTGGGTGAGGACTTTTTAATGGTTTATACTATTCTCTAACATGCCCCCTCACACAATAGTTCATTGGGCTTGAAGGGTAGACAATGCACAGACCCACCTATCTATGCTAAGAAAATTCCATGAGAAAAAGTGAGGGGCGATGCCGGTGAGGATCAAACCCGAGACACGAGTCTCTGATACTATGTAAATAACCAATTTAAGCTGGTGGGTGAAGCCTTTTTAATGGTCACAATATAAATAATAAGGCTAAATTTTTGTGAGGTAAGTTTTCCCACACTTGCACACTTTACATAGATTCTACGTGTGTGCATGTGTGTGTGATCATACAGATATATTTTGAAATATAACCTGGAAAATGACAAGAAACTATGTAATATGTTAGTTCATTAATGGAATAGCGCGCTGATATACAGTAATAAAGGTGTAGATCCACCAAAGCAACACTATTTGTTGCAAGGGGCCAGAGGAAATATGATAAACCTGTGCACTTTTGACCCCGCTTTACGAACTGTCAGTGGATGATGTACTTCTGATTTAACAGGATCCAATGCAGGCTGTGATATCTCAAGTCCCTCTTCTTTAACAATAGATAAATACCTACCAGATAATCAAAAAGTCAATACATGAGATTAGGCATAAAATAATCACTGTTAAAAAAAATTACCACTTCTTATCAAATATAGTCAACTAAATACTCTAAATTTAGTATAATCCTACTGTCCTTGACACAACTGATTGCAAGCAAAAGCTACTGTGTCAGCCAAAAAATTACCAAACTTTAAAGGACATTCCATAGGTATATTGGAAACCAATTGCCTTGACAAAGAAATTCAATTTCTTCACCAATGATGACACATGCAACTCTTTAACATAAAAGATAACAGTATTTGTTCGCATGTTATGTTATATGTACGAAATTCAAATTCATAGAGTAAGAACTTTATGTTGTTGGCGCATGTCTATGAAAATGAAAATTTTACAAGACATACAAGAGTGGCTTACCTTTTTGGGTCAAAATTATCAACAAGAAGGTCCTCATCCCAGAGAAATATATAATTGTATTCAGCAACTATGTCTGGATGCAAAAATCGTTTCGCAAACCACCTATGCCATCATATAGCATTATTTTGTTCAATAATTACAAATGAATTCAATCTTCAGAGTAGATGATTACAATTAGGGAAAACAATTCATATATGAGCTGATTATACCATTTTGTTTGATTAATAGCAGACACATGTATGGCACGACTACTCCAAGCTAAATTCTTCCATTCATCCACAAAACCATCATAATGAAAAAGCATCACAACAAAATCACTTGAAGGGAACTGCCATCAGCAATGAGTCAGCAGATATAATATGAGCTTTAGATCAAATTCAAATTGTATAAATGAAACAGCAATCACCTTTTCAACAATGTTACTGACAACTTCTTTCTGCTTAACTCCAACTGCAATGGCCAACAAGTTCAATGGACGCTTTGAAATTTTCTGAAGCAAAAAGAATTTCAAAAATAGCATTAAGAAGAATTGAAAATGGAATGTAAAGTACATAAAGAAAAATAATAAAGTGGGACCTGTCAACCTATAAAGTTAGCAGGATTTTAAATGATATATAAATAGCCTCTAAGTTGATATATTTCGTAGAGTATTGACTTCCTTTGATTTCATGGCACTACTTATGTTCTTATAGACAAGAACACTTTCTAAGAGCAAGATATATATTTTTTAAAGCACTAACAAGTAAAAAACTATTCTAAATAATGTCCTAGCTATTGTTACCCTCCAGTCTGATCTGCATAATCAGCCAGTTTATACCATCCAATTTACAAAACGAAAATAACGTTCATATTGTACAAGTCTTCATTTCTTTCAGGGAGATCATCATTGAGGGCACTCCCACTCTCCCACAACAGGAACACATTGAAAATACATAAAAGAAAATAAAGAAGTGTTCACTGTTAAAGTAACATATTCTTGAAGATGAACAAGCGTCGACAAGCAGACATGAAAACATATCGATTTCCAGCTTTTGCTATCATTTACTCAATGTAAACTAGGATTGATTTCGAAAAGAAGAAAAAAAATCAAGAGCCAAAATCAACTTATGAATTATTTAATAATCATATTCTGACATGTCCACACACCAATTCTTACTATAGTAATAATAAATAAAATAGAAGTCAATATATAAAATTAATATACTAATTCTATATATCACTTTACTCCTTCATGATTGAACTCCAATTGACCAACTTTCAGTAGAAAAAAAAAATATTTCATAGATGGACTGGATTTTACAGTGGATTAGCAACATTTTATTGTATGCAGCTTAAGACTAACATTATCAGAGTCTTGACTGAATTTCTATACAATAAATGAATTGTCAGAACTTAGTATTCATTTCACATACATTATTTATACCGGAGTCCCATAAGGGCCGCATTTCCAAGTTAGATGTTCTAGCAACAATTTCTTCAGGCAATGCCTCACTTCCAGAAGGCCAGCATTGTCTCTAGGGAAGGGGAAATAGGAACAGAATTAGAGGTAATTCCAAAGTAGTAACAACTTACAAGTTATATAAAAGGATTTGTTCCCACCAAGAAGACAAACCTTGCATGCATTGGGTTTTGTTTCCGGCATTTTATAAATTAGTCCCCATCTTGCTAATCTCTGCATGTATAATGCCCATAAGTATTTTCAACTAATCAAAACCCAAATTTCAAACAAACTGTTCCATAAAATATTGCAGAAGAACATAAGATTAACCAAAATTTGACACATAATGAAGATAAAAACTATTAAAGCCTAAAATAAAACTGAGAACTTCTTGTTCGCACAAAAATGATATGCAACTGACAGCAATCAAATTATGTGGAAGGTGGAATGTTTAAGTCCAATTCTTGACCTTGAACTCCAAGCAAATATATATGTCAATATCTCAATATAATTTCTATCAGGTAATTCTTTAGTATTATACAACAATTTCAAGAAAAATAAAAAAATCTGACCGGTTAATTGTTCTTTTCCTCTGACAAGATCAGAAGAACAAAATTTTTGTTAGACTGTCCAAGTTTCTGAATCTTCTTAATTTTTTTAATCAATTGCAAGCAGCAGATACAAGCCAGAAGATACATCTTGTTGATCCTCGAATGAACAGATATCAACCAGCATTATATTTTTCCATCATTTACCAAAAAGTAACAGCTTGAAGAATTGTTTACAGAGATAGTTTTAAACTGTGAAAGTGAGCAACATGTTCTGAATTAACTAGAAAATATCAGCTCGTATACAGTATATTTTTCCCAGAGACATATCTACTGCAATACTAATATAGCTATTATATTTTTCTACTAAAGAAGTAACCACCGTTGTACCAACACCATAACAAAATTTCCTATAAAATTCCTAATTTTCTATCTAGCAATTTAAAATTAAAACTTGGGGAAAGAAAAGCGTACTTGTTTGTATTCCTTTGCAACGAATGCATCACCAACGAAATAAGCACCACAAATCAAAGAAAGCACAATGAGGAAACTACAAAGGAGCAACTTATTCTTCAGGTCTGGCAAGACAAAACCCTGACAATGACAATGGTTATAACAACTTGAGAAATTATTACAGTTCAATAAAGTAAAAATGATTTCTTATAACCCAGCCAACAAAGCAAAGCAATCATAAAATGTAGAGGAACGGGCAAAAAGTGGTTTAAAGAAAAAACTTTAGTCATTTTGCTCCTGCTGCAGCATAACAATAAAAGTAAAGCAAAGACAATTCTCAGCAGGTCCAGGTCCAGGTCCAACACAAGGTTATTTTTATAAACCTTACCATACCACAAAGGATGTGTTGAGATATATAAAATCATTAATGTAGCCTCACCCAATAGCTTAAGCTTTTGGGTTGAATTGGTTCTTTACAGGATGCAATTCTTAATTTAATTGAGCATGGGAAACACAGTGCCCGAAATAATCTTTGTATCTCGGTGAAAATCTGTAACTAACCACCTAATAACAAATTGTGGACGGTAAGTAGAGGGAACTACCAAACGTAGTTCAGGAATAATAATAACTTGTGAAACATACATATTCTAAGGAGATAGGAAAAGTGCCAAAAATGATTTCCCCTTTTCTCTTGCAAAAGCCATAAATAAAACAAACATCTCACATGCAATTTAGTCATCTAAGCTGCCAAAAACACTCCGTTGACCCGAGACTCGCAAAAAAAATAAAAAAATAAAATAAATAGAGACATAAACAGATTTTGAGAAGACAAGAATACAGAGGTACATGAAGTTGAATGAACAAACAAACATGTTTGGGTTTTGGGTAAGTCCTGAGGGAATTTCAAGTTCCCATTAAACCCAGCAGAGCCACCCAAACAGATTAGAGTGAGAGGGAGGGAGGGAGCTTACGGTTACAGAACTCAAAGCCTTCATTTGATCTTGCGAGTGAAGAGGGGGAAGTACATAAGATTAATAGAAGAAAAAAAGATAGCTTTTCTTTTTTGAATGCAGGGAAGAGAAGAATAATGGGAAAGGAAAGAATAGGAATAGGAGAAGAGAAAGTTGCTTGGAGAAAGTAAGGGAGAAAGGAATCAACAAGTAACGACAGAGAGATGAATGAAACTCACAAGACTCGACTTCAACAATACCAAAACTAATATAAAATTAAAATAGAAAAAGGGTATATATATAAGGTATTATATCCGTATTTTTAAAATTTGGATAAAAAAATTTAAATTCAAAATTATAAAAAAAAAAATTGAAAAACATATATGGACATTGACGTATAACTGAAGAAGCAAGCTTTTGTAGTTAAAATAATCAGTTACATATACATTAATAAATAATCTTTTAATATTTTTACCAAAGTAAATAAAATAAAATATTCTTATAAATTATTATATTTTTACTTTAATGTATCTGTATTAATAACTGTGTTGTTTAGTTTATAATAAAAAAATTTAAGACGGGGCATCTTTAAATTTTTTTTTTTTTTTTTTTAAGATCAGTGTCCCTTTCGGTGTTTGGGCGAGTTACACGGAGCACGTTTGCAAGCATCGTGTTTCATTTCATGTGTGATTCAGCCATGTTTCCAGTCACGCCGCGTATACAGTGATCCATGAAAGAACAACACTTTTTTCCGCAGTCCTTTTCGCTTTTGTTTTTCTTTTCATTTTTTAATTATTACACTGTGCTTTCAATGTCTTACTTTCATCACCTTTTTTATTCTTATTATTATTTTCGCGCAAACTAGTTTTAATTTTAAGAGCTTTTAATTTATCCCTATCATTAAAGAACAGTTGACTAACTTGAATGACCCATAATTAAAATTATTTAAAATTATCTCATAAGAAATTCTTAAAATGATACTTACTCAATTATAAAATTTAAAAAAATCGTATAGTTTTTGTTTAAAAAAAAAATCATAGAATCCAGCCTTACACTCTAACCTACTTCAATATTTTAAAATTATAGAGACCCAATTAAGAAAATTTGACATTATAACTTTTAAAATATGAGGACGTGTTTGACCATTTCAAAATGTTTAAAGGAATTTTTTAAAATAAATAATAATTTATATTAAAAATTAAATAGAATCAAAATTATTACAAAATAAAATTAGATGGAGAGAAATTCTTAGATTTTATTTTTGTTACAAGAAAATTGGTAAAAAAATAATATGAATTAGTCTTTTAGCTCGTTGATCATTCACTTGCTAAGAAGTAAGAAGTCAGTGTTGTTCCCCTCAACAAAAATTTAAGCGTGAAATACTTGCAGCCAAAAAGTCGTGAATTTTCATTTCTAATAACACGTGATTTTAAATTTTTATTATTATTATCACTCAAGTGAAAGGACAAATTTTCAATTATGAAGTTTTTCTTTTATCTGCTCTTTTTTTTTTTTGTAATATTATCTGCTCTTTTTATCTTAAGTGATAATACATTTAATCATGATGACATGTAGGGGCCGTTTGGTATGCGGTATTTTGTAGGATTCCCGGGAAACTGAATTTTTTTAAATTTTAAATTTTCGAATATTATCGTAAATATTTAAATTTTCAAAAATCATATTTTTGAAATTTGAGATTCCCGGACAAATAAAAATTTCTCCTGTACCAAACACCCCGTAGAGTCTATCAAGATATTCGTAACAAATTCAGATTCAGATAAACTAAAATAATTAGGTGAGTACGAAAGATAAAGTAAATATTTATTATCATATTTTTTAGGTAAGCACTATATTTAATTATTTATTATCATATGTTAGTCCACTTAATTAAGATATTAGAGTGATTAACGCATCTTTAAGGGAATATTATGTGTTTCTGTTTTTTTTATTAAATAGAATAGGCATTAAGTGGACTGCCACGGGACCCTTGTAATAAGGTTGATTTTAAATTTTAAAAAGAATAACCAATGGCCTATACTAGCATTGATTGACGGAGTCCTTTTTATTGAAAAACTCAGGCTTTTTAATGGTACTAAAACAATTATTTAATGAAAAAAGGCTAGAGCTTTTTTAGTATTATTATAGTAATTACATCATTCTCAAATTAGTAAACAGTCGGATTTAAAGGGAAAAAATACGAAAAGATTTAAATTTAAATGGTATAAAAAATTTCTGATTTGAAAAAAAATGGAGTATCGAATTCAGTACTTAAACTATATTAAAAAAAATTTCCTGTATCACGTTCTTCTACTTGCTATTCTCTTTCTTAATGTGTTTACCATTAAAAGATTAATAGTAAGCAATCACTCCCTTTATAAATTTCTACCTTTTTCCTTTTATCTCCATTTCCTTCTTAAATTGAGAGGCTTTTGAATAGATGTTTTGATAAGCATATACAAATTTTGCACAGTTTTCACAAAATAAAATTCAGAATATTATCTAATTTAATCAATGAAACACTATGTAATTTCATTAAATTCTATTGATTATAGTTCAAAAGTAACCATCTTTAAACTCTTATAAGAATATGGGCATCCTTAGCAATAAGTTATTTTCAATTTGGCTTTCTAGTAAGCTATGGTTGAAATTGCAATCCCATACTAAGTTGTGCATGGTTATCCCATAATAATTTTTAGATTTAATAGTTTTATTTATCTTATCTCCTTGTATATATCTTAAGGATTGGTTATTTAAATGATGGGTTTCTTGTCCTATATTTTATTCAAATTTTCATGTAGAATTTTTTTTTTTTAATATCAAGAATAGTCCATGATCATCTAGAATTTCTAACACCTTGACACCCCTTCTAAGATTCCAACCTTTCCCATGCGGGCGCCAACACATATCCTGACTTCTCTATTGACCAAAGTTTAAAGAATATTTAATGTAATCGCTCGATCATGTGTCATAATTCATCACGCTGATAATAAAAAGATCTTCCTCCCTTGTTGCATTCAATGGGGGAGGGGTACCGTTCATATTTAAAATTGAATTAATATTTTTTATTTATCTCCTATACATATAAAAATATATGTGTAACTTACATGGAATCATATAAAGAGAAAAAAAAATATAAGTCTTTCACACACACACACACATATATATATATATGTATATATATATATATATAAGGATATTGTAACAACCAAATTATGTTACTACCATGTTACTACCAATCAATTTCACCGTTAGATCGATTATGTTGATCCAACGGTTATATTTATTTCGATCTTTGTATGATCATGATTTCTCAAATTTAATATTTTATATTTATTTTCACCTTTGTCTGATTATGATTTCCGATATTTAATGCTTTAATTTCCGATATTTAATGCTTTCACTTTAAATATGGGAAATCATGATCATACAAAGATGAAAATAAAAATAACTGTTGGATCAACATAATCGATTTAACGGTGAAATTGATTGGTAGTAACATAACTTGGTTGTTACAATATTCTTTCCCATATATATATATATATATATATATATATATATATATATATATATATATATGTATGTATGTATGTATATATATATATATATATATGTATGTATATATATGAGATAATTTAATCTCCTATCATAAAAACTATTAATCTCTTTAAAAAATATCATCTTTACTTTTTATAGTGGGCAAAAGTCTAAGGAGGCATTTGGTAGAGAAAAAAAAAATTTACCTGGAAATCACAATTTTTAAGAATATGATGGGAAAATGGGCTTTTTCACCCTTTTACCCCTTGTTAATTAATTAATAACTATTTTGCCTCTGATTCGAAACTATTTATCAATCTGCCCCTCTTTAGTCGACTACCTTACATTTTTAATTGACTAAATGACCAAAACAGACAAAAAATGGCTGCTGGGAGATTTAGTCGACTAAATCTCCCTATTTAGTCGACTAAATCTTCATATTTTACAAAAAAAAAAAAAAGTCAGTATGATTTTAATCGATTAAGTAGAGAGATTTAGTCGATTAAATCTCCCAACAACCGTTTAGTCGATTAAAAATGCAAGGTAGTCGATTAAAGAGGGGCAGATTGGTAGATAGTTTCGAATCAGGGGCAAAATGGTTATTAATTAATTAATAAGGGGCAAAAAGGTGAAAAAGCCTGGGAAAATGAGTTTTCTGAAAATATTACCAAAAAGTTATTTGGTAGGCTGAAATATTCTCGAGAATGTTGAGTTGATTTTCTTAATACTATGTTTGGTTATATTTAATTTTTCCTTTCCATAAAAATCGTAGAATACCACTTTCTGGGTAATATTTTTAAAAAAAATTACACAAAAAATACAATTCGGAGAAAATCAGATTCTCGAAAAAAAATTAAAAATCTTATTCCAAACGTAGGTAATAAAAATTACCACATTTAATTTTCCGAGAATCCTAAAAAAAAAAATTATGTACCAAACAGCACATAAGTACATTTAAAGTTTTGTTACATATTAGCTTTTACAATTTTAACCTTTTTTTTTTTTTAAGACAATAAGTTAAGCGTCAGAATAATTTTTACAGTTTCACGTAAAAAATTATAAAAGCTTATATCCAAAAAATTATAAGACCAAAGACCTGAACAACTGAAAATTGTAGGCATCAATTACTTATTTGAACATCAATATATTTATGATAAGTATGTACTTTGAAACTTGAAAGGTTCAGAAACAAATTCAAACTCCTCAAAAGCAAAAACTGATGGTAACAGTCTAAACGCTGCGTTTAAACTTGAAGAATGGAAGACAACAATAGGAGGAGTGTGAAGAAGTTGGTTCCGATTCCGAATATCGTCGGTCTTGTGTTGTAGGGGGGTGTGATGTAATTAGGGTTTCCCTCCATTTCTTCACAGTCACCAGTAATAGTCACAGTGACATAGTCACAGCGCAATTTACCCGTTCTTTCATTCGGTCTACTCCTCAACTCGTTTAGATTTTCTCATTATCGTGCGATACGGTACGATATTTTCCTTCTTTATTTTTCCAGCTTTTTCATCTGATCAACCTTCAAATTTTACTTTCGAATTTGTTTTTGTGTCCTTCATTGGCTATAGCTTGAATTTTCATTCTTCTTTTTTTCTGTAATTGGTTATTTGTAGGGTTTGGGGTGCTGATAATAATTAATAATAAAGAAAATTGTGGGTTCACTTCGAT